ACTAACTAAAACAGCCCGCACTAGATTTTTGCTAAAGAAACAATGTTAATGGATTATATCGGAAAAAAAACTAACACATTCGGTCAAACTCAAAAATCCATTATAGTCGATTGTAATATTTATGTGGTTCCTATATAATTGGTTTTTTTTCAAGAAAATTCATAAAAATTGATTTTTTTCTGCAAGAATGAAATGAAAATTGATTAATTTTGCGACTATGAATTGATTAATCTTCTTTTTCCAATTTTCTTCAAAACTAGAATCCGAAAGAACATGTTCTTTTACGCGTACACCCTCCTTCCTTTTCAACGTTTTGAACCCGCCCCTGCTTTGACCCCCACACCCCCTTTTCAACCGCCCCTCATAAGGGGATAAACATAGAATCGGAGACAAGGAGGGAAAGAGGGACTTAACTTGGAAAAAAGAGCGTCAAAAAGTTTGAGAGACTAAAAAAGATTTTTAGAAAATTGTCATGGAAAAAATTGATGAAAAATTGTGAAGGAAGATAAACCATATAACCTTTTTCTGGCCAAAGTAAGTCTCACATTGTCTTATGTAAAAAACGTATGTTAAGCCAAAAGCACTGTGTTTGACTAATTTAGAATTGTGGAAAAAAATTATAATCAATTATAATCAATTATCAATTATAATCAGTTAAAACATTGAAAAAGGATTTTATTTAATTGACCGAAAGAAAATGTGATCCATTTTTAATCGAGTATAATCAGTTTTTCTATATTTTTATGGAGAATGAAAAGAAAACTAATATATGCCATTAATGTCCATAAAAATATAGCTAAGAAATTAATCTAAGGCTAAAGCTAATTAGTCAAAAGGAATAGGAAAAAAAAATGAATAACCTCAATATTAAAACACTAGAGTAAAAATAATCAAGGTCATTCCGAACAAGTGGCTTACACTGAAGGTCAGACAAAGAATTTTTGAAACTAACTAAAACAAGACTGCTCGTATCAGGGCGAAACCCTGAATGTTCCGACGGCCTTTTAGGGTTTATGGAGCAGTAATAACAATAAAAAATTAAATGAATAAAAGAAAATGAATAATTTTTTTTTCTAAAATTTGAAATTTTTATGAAAATCATCTCCCCACACGCCATATAAAAAACAAAAGGATAGATTTCGCTCCTTTTAACAAATCAATTATGGCAAATAAGATTCTTTCAACCAATTTGGAACAATTTATAAGACGGATTAACTCTCCGCTTACGCGTTAATTGTCCCAAAATGGCAATATTTAAACCCACATAACTTTATGAAAAATGATCACAGATAAAATATCTTTTCAATATTAAGCTCAGGACAACAATACCTTTTAAATGATATAAAGAAAATCCGTCAAAAATGGCTAGTTAATAAGTCGAAATTTGTCAGAAGAAAAAAAGACCCACCCCGAGCAGAAATATTACGTTACTTTCGTATCGAAAGTCGAAACAAAAAATTAAATGTAGCTACATTAACTTTTTAGTGTGGTCAAAACAAAACGCATTTAGTGTGGTCAAAATTAGAAACAAAATTTTGATAGCAATGTCGGGTGAATGATGGATTCAATTGATTCCGAAGGAATCTAAAACTTAATAAAAAGAGTCAAATATGAAAATGACGGCAAAAAATTTGAATTAAAGGATCAATTTGTCAAGCTTAAGAAAACTGACAATTGAGTCTATCAACGTATATAACGTAAAGACGAAATGTTTTTTTTTTAACTTTTAATCATTTTCCAGCCAAAACTCTATTCATTTCTGAGTGAACCTGGCCGTCTCATTGGGACGGGGTATCGGATTTTGCCAGTTCTTCTTTTGAACTTGGCGTGGTACAAAATCGGAGATAGGTTCATCATTGTCTGAGAGCTCCGTTGCTGGTGATCCGATATTTTCCGGGAATTTGGGATCATTGAAGCATCAACTTCCGCTGGAGTGGATGATGTGTTGTTGCACTTGAGAATCATCGTCGTCGTCGCACACTCCCTTGTATTATATCTTCTACTCGCTGAAGCATCAGTGGAAAGGTTGAGCATAATGGGGTCGTTGGCTGTTCCGATTTGATATTCAACATCTGTAAATTATCTATTGTCAAACGATTTTTGCAGTCACTCGTTACTGGATGCCCTACAAAACTTCGCGAGTGAGTTAACAATTTGTTGAGAAGTTCCCGTTTTTTCTGACGAAACGGTAATCTCGAAAACAAGTATTTCTCGGGGAGTAATATGTTGCTCCCTCGAAGTGTTTTTGATCTGGAACGATTTCGAGTCTTCTACAGGAGGTGGTGGTTTGACTTTAGTGTTATCCACTCCGGCGGGTGAGGTTGAGATTGGTTTTGAGTCGTCTAAATGTGATTAGAATTTCAGGTTTAATCGTGAGATCGTTTAATCTGGTTCCGAGTTTGAGAGCTTTGAAAGAATTCGAAGTAAATCTATCCCTTCCCACAGCTCTGCCAGGGAAGCTTATTACTGACCAATCCAAACTATTTATATCCGACGTATCCGAGGGAATGAATTAAGATTCATTGCAAGCAAAGAATCCTGAAGTTTGCTATTTTTAGAAAACTTTGGCCGTAGAAGGATGTTTTTTGACGGATTCCGAGGATTTCTGCTTTGAACCTTTCTCCTTGATGAGTACTTTGAAGTAGTTCTGTGACAATTTTGGTTCTCACATGTGGCTTTACTTTGATGCTTTGAGAGTTTTGAGATGAGCACTGAATCAGAGCTGTCTGAGCAGTGATGATTGTGAATATCACCAGTGGATGTAAAATATCTGTGGTGAGCGATTGTCTTTTTCTGATTTTTCTTACCTGCTTTAACACTTGAGTTAGAAAAGTGGAGAAATGACTCGTTGTCCTGAAGCGCGTGAACTTTTCGACACATATTTCCCAAAAAAGGTATCAGAATTTTGGATGATTTTGCCGCTGGCAAGTTCTACTGTTGATTTTGATGAATTTATGATTCCGGCATAAAAATTTTCAAAATATGGAGGTCCATTTGGTCGGTTTGCTACTTTTCTAAAAAAATTCCCTTTGTAAAAAAAACTTTTCAATCGAATTCTAATGTTTGGCGCCCCTGTCGTTTATACTTGATCGGCCAATTTGTTGCCCTTATTCGTCGGGTTACGATTGTTTTGAGGTAGAGCTTCGGCAGTCTTCGATCCGGTCATCTGATCCCCAGTCCAATGCAGGGATGGTTGACTTCCCTCTGTTGGATCTTGTTGATATGTGGTATGGGCAACTCTTTTGAGCGACTTGGATTCAAATTTTATAGATCATCGTTTCCAATTATGTTTTTTTCGTGAACTTCTGTCAAGAAGAAGGAGGATTCTCTCTGGTACCATCAGTAGTGATGTTGCCCAGCAATCATATGATTGTGGGTTCATTTCGCACGTTCGCTGCATTATACAAGGTGAGCTCCTTTAAGATAACCATAGCTTAGTTAACCTTAGATAGTTAACCCTCTTAGCTAAAATATATATCATTGGCGAATAATAGAATCATAATCTTCCCGATTATCTTAATCGCCGTATCGGTGAACAAGCAGCCTTGATCTTTTGTAGCTAATTCCACTGGAACTATGCAAACGTAAGGTTTTTTCAACTTTAGTTTGTGTAAAACATACAGGACGGCAGAGTCAACCTGGTTGTTCAAACAAACTTGACTTTCATTAACGAGGGCAACCTGTTGTTTTTTTTTTTGGTTCTTTGTGGTCCTCCTCTTCTCTAGTTGTGACTTTTAGCACAGTGTAATCATCAATGTTAATTTTTCAGGCTTAATCAATCACTCCGTAGCATTCTCTATAGGCATGATCAAAATCTACTTTGGTATGATTCGACGATTTTTCTCCTTTTGTGCTATTTACAGTTTGACTTTTGAAAAGGTTCACATTTCTACTTTCAGATTTACAGTTTTTCCTGAATCTTCCTTTCTTGTCAATAAGACCTACGTTAAAAGCTTCCAACGGAGTTACGGTTTCCTGAAGGAGATTTCTCTGGGTTTCGTAATTTTTCATATCTTTTTATCAAAAAATTTCTAATCCGTTCGTCCTCTCCGTCTAATATATTGCATTTTTGCCACTTTTGGCCAGACATCCCAACGTTTTTCAAGCGACATTCCGTCATGTTTTATCTGTTCAGTAGTTTTTGTCTAAATCTCGTAGAACAAAATGCGAAAGACTTTAAGTTTAATTAACTTATTTCTAAATTTTCTCTTTCCTTTGGATCCGAGAAAGATTTGGCATTGGTCTCAACTTCTTGTCCACTTATTCCGGACGCATTTGGTTGAGCTGCGCAATTTAGTTCTGCTTTTTGAGCTGCCGCTTGTTCATCGTCTTATTTTCCTTACTCTGCTAGTCTCGCATTTCTTTGACTTTCTGAATAGTTATTTTCGGGACTTTTTCCGAAAGTGGGTGGAGTGGCTGGGATTTTTTTGATCGGATTGAGCAGAAGATTGATATCTAAGTTCCTTATTGGTATAATTGTTAATTAAAATAAGTCGCTCCAATCTCTCCATGGAGTTGAAGGGTCAACTACATGGTTCGACAGAAACTCTGGGATTTGTCTCACACTCGATTCGTTATGCTTAAGCGCGGCATTATGAAATAATCTAATGCTATAGCTAAAATACATGTAAGAAAACCTTATATATAACGTGAAGAAGATCACTTGAAAGGAGTGTTCAACACTGAAGTTCGGAAAAAGACTTGTTAAGACTAGGTAAACATTGAGAGGCATAAAATCAGATCGGGACACCAGTGCGGGCGGTTTTTGCTAAAACAATTTTTAAAAGAAACATCTACATTGTTTCGCTCAATTTAAACAACTTCAATTTAAACATTTAAACAACTAGCGGAATATAGTCTGGTCCGCTCGAATGCATTAAAATCACGAGTTTTTCAGAACAAAAAAACGACAACTTTTATATCACTTTAAATTAAAGGTACTAGGAAGAAAACTAGCAATAATACGAAATTATTTGAGTTGTCTTTCGATAGTGACAAAGGAGACGCCCCTGCATTACTGTGCAAGAGGGGGCAATGCTTCAACTCTGTCTGTTGTGCTGGAGTACCTCACCGCAGTCAGTGTACACACATACGAACAGGTCAGACACTTCTAATCGAATATATTATGCTCAAGATAAGAGATTCAATCATTATATTAGAAACCTTATGATCGAAAATGCGAAATTAAAGTTAAACAATCTGACCTTAGGAATAACCAAATTATTGACTTTTCGGTAATTTTTTGGTCGACCGACCCAACCTTTTTCTGGATGCGCCTTTGAAGCTTTTATAAACTAAATTTGAGGGGTGAGTGCGCGCTAAAAAATAAAGTGATTTTTTATTGTGCAAAAATTTCCAAAAAGCTCAAAAATGGCACTTCTGGCCTATTTTCAAACAATTCTTCTTCGACCTTTGGCGCCCAAAATATTATGAAAAAGGTCTTAATGGTGTTTTCCGAAAGCTCGGAAATCATTTTGTCGACCTGCAAAAGTTTGTCATAACTTTGACCTTTTAAAAAATCAACTCCTTCAATGAAACATCGAAAATCCCCCCTCGCGCCATGTTATTCAGTGTGGAATAAGTTGGTCTAAATTTCGAATGATTTTTGGTGCCAGCTTTTCATCTATCGGTTCAAATTATCTGGAATGTTTTTGCCTGCATTTTTTTTTGCTGGAAACATAATTTTCATATATAATAGGCAATAATGAAAAATGCACCAGTATCGAAAGGGCACTCCTTTTACTTAATTGGTCTGTTATAACTTGTACCTGTGTCTTGTGGTTTTAATGACAATCAAAACACTGTAATAAGTTAACACTGACCTTGAATGAGCATCACATGTACCACACACACATAAATAGATGAAGAATGAACATTCACTATTCATGATTATTTTCAGAACTCGGTAAAGATAGCCAACACGCTTAAGCTAATCTGTGTTTTTGCTCTAGCACTGCTCAATAATTCCTTGTTTAACAAACTAACCAACCGTTTCAAAATAAAGCAGAACCAGACCCAGAAAAAGAGTGGCAACAAGGTGGGTATAGTATGCCATGCGGAAGCGCGATGACTCATCTCAATTTTAGCTAAAGACCCCCCCCCCCCCCCCTTATTATCTATTCTACACCCCCATTGGTGCCTGATATCATCACTTAATGTATATCCTTGTCCTTTCTTCATTCACTTGCACAGTTGTTTGGTGTTTCTACTCGGATCTCGTCAGCTATTGAACACCTAATTGCAATCAGGGGAATCGGGCCCTCTTTTCGCACAAGTTCCTTGAAAAGTTTCACAAATAATTGACCGTTGAATTGAATCTTTGCAGGGGCGGAATTTTTGTACAAGTACTATGGGGAATAGCTAACGAGATCCGCTGACTTGTTGCCGCGCTTGTTTTTGTGGTTTTCTCAGTTGTATAATATATCTACTTTGCTAATTTCTATCTCATTATCGATCTCAAACCGTCATCCCAGTTTTGGGAGAAGAAGCAAAAAGCAACAAAACCTGGTCCCCAAATATTTGAGCTGGTCAGTCAATAGCGGTTGGGAGGGGATGGGGGGTTGCAGTACGATCAATCACGGCTTAACGGCTACTTTGATATCAGCCTATGTATTTCCATTACGAGGCCAAAACTGTGTATTTTGTGAATCGTAAGCGGATTCCGCATCAAGGGCGCTGTCTTTGTTCTTCCACTGTACTTTCAATTTCTTTGATCGTTACGACAAAATTTTGACATTTGGCCTTGCAATATTTTTCCTGCAGTGACAAAAATGTATAAACACCAATCAGCTTGAAAAAATCATACAGATTTCAGACCTGTAATTTTTATATTGTATATAACATTATTATATTGTTTAGTAATCGAGAATAATGCATATTGCCGGGTTGCCCACCATAGAAGATAATGCGCAACCATGCACATCCATGCATGATTTGCATGGAAAATGACTAATCATACGTAGCCCATACGTTGGTTTCGAAAACCCTCAAAATAGCGGAGTAATTTAGTAATAAAACGGTTTCTCATCATTATGCAAGCTGTTGGAAAAATATCAAAAATTTTCACTATGCAAATCATACGTCGCAACATATATGGTGCTACTTATGGAAGAGATTTCTCACCATATTTTTTTCTCCAGAAAACCGTAAGAATAGAGCTTAATTGACAAAAATGACTGAGAAAAAATAACTTTAGTACACGATTCGATTTTATTAGATTTTTATTTTTTTCACCATGCAAACCATACGTCGCACCATAATTGCTGCTATTTATGGAAACGATGTTTCCATACAAAAACAACTTTAATAGAGCATGCAACAACACAACGATGTTTCCATACAAAAAACTTTAATAGAGCATGCAACATGTAAATTTCGGGGTTTATTTTTTTGCAAAAGTTTTTTTTTAAATTTTTCATAATATAATCATTACTAAAATGCTCGAAAAGAGAAGTTTTTTATTTTAGTTTTGTGGCATTTTTTTTTACTTTATAACGACCATCTACAGGTTATGATTTATAACAGATCATCTACAGGCAATATACATATTAAATACTGATTTTTCTCAACCTGATCGCCCATCAGGTGATATGAGTATTTTGAAATACAACTATAATGTACTCTTCTCGTTTAAACTTTTGTGCTGATGCTTGACCGGAAAAAATAACTGAAATCAGTAATCTGTAAACAACTTGCAGCAAAAACTACTTAATCAATGCTTTTTTTCTTTTTTTTGTTGGCAAAATTGTACTAAAAATTGATTAAAAATTGGAAGAAGTTTTGCACAAAAGTGCAAAACTTCTTTTTTTTCTGCGGGAACCCTCAGATTGCAAAATCTCAGAGGGATCTAGAAACTTGTAATTTGCGGTAAACTTTTCTTTTCAACTCAGTTTAGTTCAGCTTTTAATAAAACTGATAAGGCTTTTTCCTGTTTACAAAATTTTGGTAAAAATTTCCAAAAAAAAAAACAAATTTTAATTTATGTTTCGGAGGGTCAGAATTGAAATCCTACTACTTCATTCCTGTTTGAGAAATAATATATACAGATAATATACAGATAATTTACAGGTTGTATACAGGTTTTATTGTAAAAAGACTATGATACTAACTATATACAGATTATGTACAGATTATATACAGGCTTTAGAGAGTCAAAAACCGATTATTTTGGCACTAAGTCTATTTTTGTTTCAATTAAAAAATCTATAAGATTCTATAATATCTTTCGCAAAATGGTTGTAGATAAGCGATTCTTAACATACGTTAATCCGTCACTTTTTCTATAGGGAAGCGATTTGTATCTTTTTTTTTGTCACTGCGGGTTCAACGATGACCGGTTTTTGGCCCACACCGAGACGGACGAAAAAAGGCTTCGTTTGAATCAAAGTAGACTCATGGGTCAAGTCATGGGTTGGGCAGGGTCGAATAGTGTCGAATCATGGTTCGAACAGAATGGAAACATGCGTCGAATAGGGCCAAATTTTTCTCAGTGACAACCGTTCAAAATTCGGAGGTTATAGGGCTCTCGCGGTCAGAAAATTTGAGGAGCGGTGATAAAATGGTTATGTCTCCGCCTCTCAGTTGTAAGGTTGGATGTTCGAGACCCACCATGATCCGTGCTCGTTGATTGAGAGTGAGACAACACTATCCAGCGCGAAAATAGCCCAAAAAAACTGCATGTAATTCTTAAGCAGGGGCACAATAGCATTTCTTCGCGATGAGCCGAATAGTTCGTATGTTGGTCCTTTCCCTAGTAGAAAAACTGTCTCAACTCCCAATAAGTTGCCGGGTGAAAGCTCAAAACATTTGAATTTAATTCTTTATTATGAATAACAAATTCGTTACAATTATTTATGGTAAATAGTTCGACAAAGTTTCGCAAAAACAAACAAAGTCGAGCCCTGCCCGGCAAAGTCGTAAGAAGTCGATGGCGATCATTATTCGATTGGGTAATCGACATTTCGTCGAAGTCATCAATTGGTCGAAAACAACAACTGGTAAAATTTAGAAACAGCGTCGTAATTCCTAATAAGGCTGAATTGACAAATAGCGACCACTTGTTCTACTTCAGTATCCTCTGCGGTTGCCTCGGCGCGAGAAGGATACTGCGCGTAAATCAGTGTTTGCAGTTATTTTTACTGTTCCGAATTATTGTGACCTGGTACAATTTGTTAATAGTTCGAAAAAAAATTGAACTTTCTTTTTTGACCAAATCTTGTTTTCGACGAACTGAAGATTCAAGGTCCATAACTAATCTGAACAACAAGGTCCAAAACGGACATCATTCGGCTATCTTTTCACTCGCAAATAATGAGCTGAACAGCTCACCCCGGTATTAGTTTTTGTCCAGAAAAACTAATATTCTCCTTGTGCGAGTGTTAAGTTATCGATTACACACCTGTTTTGTTTTACTCTCTTCTGGTAATCATCCAGCGTAGACTGTTTTTTTTTGGGTTTGCAAAGACTAACCGTAATATACATCAATAAAATAACCTGATGGGTATGGTGACAATAGTCGACTGCTACCTGCACTGACAAAAATGGAGTAAGATCGATTTTAGCATTAAAAAGGTATTAGCTTAAATTGAGAACAAGTTTAGCGCGAAAAAAAGTATGAAGATCAAATAGAAAAGATAAAGATTGATTTTGATCAATTTAAAGTTGATTAATTTGATCTTAGGACCGTGCTAACAAACCGATCTAAAAGATTTTAAATCAACTCAAAGCCATTTTTCCTGTTTTTAGGGAACTACAACAGATTTAAATCGATTTTTTTTCAAGTTGTTTAATTTCATCAGTTTTGAGAATTTTTGCCCTTATTCATGGCCAATCTATTTTACTTCTACAACCATAGCGTCTGGTAACATAGTAAAAAGACCAAAGAATTTGAAAAATTCAATAATCGTTGCAGTTTGGAATAATTTAAGTTTCCATCTGATTTATGTCAGCTATTTTTTTGATTTGTTATATAAAATGTTGCTCAAAATTTGGCTCACATTGATTACTTTCTACAATTTTATAGAATGTTTTTGAGTTTAAAATCGGATTTGTATGGACCCTTTTTTTAATTCTACGCTTAGATTTTTGCTCACAATCTTATTTACATTGATGATTTTCTACGATTGTTAAATTGTTAAATAGATTTTAGCTAAAATTGATTTGAAAAAAGTTTTTTAGAAACTAAATTTGATCTGCTCAGGGGTATTTTAAAACGGATTTAAATGGAATTTGGCAAGATTGGGATGGGTTGTAGTAAGGAAGAAAAACTAAAAAATTTTCTAGACTCCGATCCAAAACTTAAAATTTCAAGAAAGGTCAAATTAAATCGATTTATAATCCATTTCAGTTCCTAAAAGTTACCTTGTTTATAGGTTTGGATGGATTTAAATCAATTTATATCGATCCGAAACCATTTTTGTCAGTGCGGGCATGAAGACCTCAACCTACTGAAAGCGTTACTCGGATTGTCATGAACTCAACAAGGCTAACTCAAAACCTCAAATAACATCTTCATTTGGGCAAAAAATATGGAAATATATTGATTTTAACTTATGATCCTTCAATCTGAAAGATATATTTTGCATTTCGAGTTAGCTATTTCAGAATCAGTATAACAACCCGCACTGGAGATTTTCTTGGATAATACTGGATCATATTTGATTGTTGAATTTTTATCCATGAAAGTTTGGTGTGGGAAGAAACTGTGGATGTGTATAAGTTGTGCTCTGTTTGTTAGGGAGAGGCGGCCAACGATGTGCGGAAGAAGTCTGTGAATGCCACCCAGCTAAGGAGCCTCAACATTCGCAACAAGGTACCACTACTATATACATTGAAAGAGTCCATTGCAAGGCTAGTTCCAGTAACAGCCAGTTCCTGTTACACCTCACACGTCTAACACAATGAATCTGCTAAATGTTGGATCCCAATCTTGTATGTCGGGTGTATGTTGAGTTAGTTCCATGCCTGCTCATTGAATGAGTGTGTCTATTGTGTGGTGGTTCTAAGTCTGCTATATATCTCTCTCTTTCCGTGTAGGCTGGATGGTCCCCCCTCATGGTGGCGAGTGAGAGTGGACATGGGGAGGTAGTGGAGATGCTCCTCAACCACAACGTCCGAGTGGATCTCTTCGATGAGGTAACCCACACACTACTCATACACTTCACACACACACAATTAAGATACACCATAAAACTAAGTGATTCCTTGATTGTATGAAACTTTCTATGTTGCAAATATCTACTCATCCAGTGTAAAAGTCTTCGGTGAAACTTGTTCCCTTAAAAATTGATTACATTTGTGTAGAAACAGCTGCAACTCTAAGGAAAGATTAAGAATAGGCGATATGAAACAATGTTTTTTTTTCTCAGATCGTTCAGCCCTAAACTAGTTATTAGCCTCAGTATTACTGACTGATTAGGGTGGCAACACAGCGCTGCACTATGCGTGTGCGCGTGGCCACACCGAGATAGCGGATGAGCTGATGTGGCACAAGGCCTTCGTGAATGCCAGAACGAGACTGGGAGTGACGCCACTGCACCTGTCTGCTCAGTATGGACATGCCAGATTGAGCCAGCTGTTGATCAACTCGCACAACGCCACAGTCGACATACTCTCATTGGTGAGTCATACATACTCTCATTGGTGAGTCATACATACTCTCATTGGTGAGTCATACATACTCTCATTGGTGAGTCATTCATACTCTCATTGGTGAGTCATTCATACTCTCATTGGTGAGTCATTCATACTTTCATTGGTGAGTCAACATCAAAAGGTTCTCGTTGTTATTGATCAGCAACTCATAGTTATAGTTTATCGGCCGTAGTGAAATACTAAACAGATATAATTTTTAATTACTATTATCTAATTACTATCAAAGATACGCACTCAAAATTGTTCAAAAGGTACGCTAGATCAGAAGTTCAGTCAGCAATTCATAAAGTGATCCTCCGTAGTTCCTGAAACTATCCTCATTGAGTTTATCTGCCTGTTGTTTCCAGACCCGCAAGACACCGATGCACTTGGCCGCCCAGGAGGGCCAGATAGATGTGTGCCAGGCACTGCTGGATCTCAACGCAGACCCATTCGCCAAGGACATGGCTAGCTCTCATTACTACTCTAGTTCTCAAAGTCCAAAAAAGGATTAATAGGATTTCATTGTAGAGAATAAAGGTCGTGACAGCACTCGAACACAATGAAACATGATATTATTGCTGACTGCTTTAAAATTATTCAGCACCATTATTTCCTAAAGAATAAGGGTATTTCCCGTAAAAGCCCCCACCTCCACGAGACCAGTAAAACGAAATAAATTTTGCCCCCCCCCCAACCTTGTAAGTTTACTGAAGGGGGACTGTAATTTGCTGGTGGGGTGTGTTTAAAGGGGTGCATATTGAGTTTTTGCATGTTTAGGAGGAGCAGACGCCTCTGCACTTGGCGGCAGAGAAGGACTTCAGTGAGGTGGTGAAGCTGTTCCTGAGCTACAACCAGGACCTGGTCAATGTGTGCAACAGTGAGGGCAGAACCTGTGCTCACATTGCAGCCTCCAAAGGCAGCATGAGTGTCATCAAGGGCTTAGTGAAGTTCAACCCAGAGGGTCTGGTGCTCGACAAGGACTCTGTAAGTTCTCCATTCTAATCAGTAGAGTGACTTCGCTCCACAGGTAGCATAAGTATCTTTAAGGGTTTAAAGGAGTTCAAACAGGAGGGGATAATGTTCGACAAGGACTCTCTAAGTCCTCTCCTCTAATTAATTCAGAGCCATCACTCCACAGGTAGCATGAGTGTCAACAGTGGTTCAATCAGGAGGGACTGTTGGTCGACAAGGACTCTTTAAGTCTTCTATTCTAAATAATTCATAGACATCACTCCACAGATAGCATGAGCGTCATCGATGGATTAGTGTAGATCAACCAGGAGGGAAGAGTGTTCGACAAGACCTCTGTAAGTCCTCCATTGTTATTGGTTCAGAGACATCACTCCACAGGTAGCATGAGTGTCATCAAGGGTTTAGTGTAGATCAACCAGGAGGGAAGAGTGTTCGACAAGACATCTGTAAGTCTTCTATTGTTATTGGTTCAGAGACATCACTCCACAGATAGCATTAGCGTCATCAAGGGATTAGTGTAGATCAACCAGGAGGGAAGAGTGTTCGACAAGACCTCTGTAAGTCCTCTATTGTTATTGGTTCAGAGACATCACTCCACAGGTAGCATGAGTGTCATCAAGGGTTTAGTGTAGATCAACCAGGAGGGAAGAGTGTTCGACAAGACCTCTGTAAGTCTTCTATTGTTATTGGTTCAGAGACATCACTCCACAGATAGCATGAGCGTCATCAAGGGATTAGTGTAGATCAACCAGGAGGGAAGAGTGTTCGACAAGACCTCTGTAAGTCCTCTATTGTTATTGGTTCAGAGACATCACTCCACAGGTAGCATGAGTGTCATCAAGGGTTTAGTGTAGATCAACCAGGAGGGAAGAGTGTTCGACAAGACCTCTGTAAGTCCTCTATTGTTATTGGTTCAGAGACATCACTCCACAGATAGCATGAGCGTCATCAAGGGATTAGTGTAGATCAACCAGGAGGGAAGAGTGTTCGACAAGACCTCTGTAAGTCCTCTATTGTTATTGGTTCAGAGACATCACTCCACGGGTAGCATGAGTGTCATCAAGTTTTTAGTGTAGATCAACCAGGAGGGAAGAGTGTTCGACAAGACCTCTGTAAGTCTTCTAGTGTTATTGGTTCAGAGACATCACTCCACAGATAGCATGAGCGTCATCAAGGGATTAGTGTATATCAACCAGGAGGGAAGAGTGTTCGACAAGACCTCTGTAAGTCTTCTAGTGTTATTGGTTCAGAGACATCACTCCACAGATAGCATGAGCGTCATCAAGGGATTAGTGTATATCAACCAGGAGGGAAGAGTGTTCGACAAGACCTCTGTAAGTCCTCTATTGTTATTGGTTCAGAGACATCACTCCACAGGTAGCATGAGTGTCATCAAGGGTTTAGTGTAGATCAACCAGGAGGGAAGAGTGTTCGACAAGACCTCTGTAAGTCTTCTATTGTTATTGGTTCAGAGACATCACTCCACAGATAGCATGAGCGTCATCAAGGGATTAGTGTAGATCAACCAGGAGGGAAGAGTGTTCGACAAGACCTCTGTAAGTCTTCTATTGTTATTGGTTCAGAGACATCACTCCACAGATAGCATGAGCGTCATCAAGGGATTAGTGTAGATCAACCAGGAGGAAAGAGTGTTCGACAAGACCTCTGTAAGTCCTCTATTGTTATTGGTTCAGAGACATCACTCCACAGGTAGCATGAGTGTCATCAAGGGTTTAGTGAACTCAACCAGAAGGGAAGAGTGTTCGACAAGGCCTCTGTAAGTCCTCTTTTCTAAATAATTCAGAGACATCACTCCTTGGATAGCATGAGCGTCGTCAAGGGATTAGTGTAGATCAACCAGGAGGGAAGATTGTTCGACATCGACTTTTTAAGTCCTCTATTATAGTTATTTCAAAGACATCACTCCACAGGTAGCATGAATGTCATCAAGGATTTAGTGAAGTTCAGACAGGAGGGAATAGTGTTCGAAAAGGACCCTATAAATCCTCTCCTCTAATTAATTCAGAGACATCACTCCACAGGTAGCATGAGTGTCATCAGTGGTTCAATCAGGAGGAACTGCTGCTCGACAAGGACTCTATAAATTGTCTACTCTAATCTGTACAGAGACATCAATCCACAGGTAGAATGAGGTTCATCAGTTGTTTAGTGTAGATCAATCAGGAGGGACTGTTGGTCGACAAGGACTCTTTAAGTCTTCTATTCTAAATAATTCATAAGAGATCACTCCACAGATAGCATGAGCGTCATCAAGGGATTAGTGTAGATCAACTAGGAGTGAAGAGTTCTCGAAAAGACCTCTGTAAGTCCTCTATTGTTATTAGTTCAGAGACACATCACTCCACAGGTAGCATGAGTGTCATCAAGGGTTTAGTGAATTCAACCAGAAGGGAAGAGTGTTCGACAAGGCCTCTGTAAGTCCTTTTTTCTAAATAATTCAGAGACATCACTCCACAGATAGCATGACCGTCATCAAGGGATTAGTGTAGATCAACCAGGAGGGAAGATTGTTCGACATCGACTTTTTAAGGCCTCTATTATAGTTTTTTCAAAGACATCACTCCACAGGTAGCAATGCTTTTTGATAATCCCTCGATTGAGTTAGTAAAAATAAATTTGTGAGAATAAGTTATGTGTTGTACTAAACAACCAAAGGCGAATTTGTTTTTTACTAAAAGTTCTCTGAAATTGAGTTTTGACTGCAGGTTTGTCGCAAAACTGAAAAAAAAATCACTTTTTAATTTACGCTCAAGAAACGACAGAGGAACATATTAATGTTAGTCCAAGACTATGTAAATCACTTATTATTTACCACAGAAACGTTGACTTTGAATTGATTGAAAGTGCAAGCTAACAGTCTTTTTGGTTTTCTTCCAAGATGTCACTATTTTTTTTGGTAACCTTACGTGGCCAAACTGTGCTTTGGATAGGCGCACAATTTTGTGTTTGTATGTTCCGGGATTCCAACAACTAATCTTTAAACATGTTCCAAAATGTAAGCGGATTCCCCTTACAAAATTTCCGTGGATTCCGCGTACAAAATTACTGTGGATTCCGTGTACAAATAGCTGTAACGTAAATTTTGTCGCAACGAGCTCTTATTTATAGTGGTCCTGGATTCCGCAACTGTAAGAGGATTCCACAAAATGTAAGTGGAATCCGCAAATGTAAGTGGAATCCCCAAACTCTAAGTGAATTCCGAATTTTGTTTATTACTGAACTTGCATATGAACAATTAAAAGTTAGAGCAAGAATTCATATCTTTAGCAATGCGGATTTTAAAAGCAAGAGCTTGACCTTTGTCAGCGGAATCCACGAACAAATCTTAAAACATCGGTCAACTAAATCAGTGGATGTCAGCTTTTAGTATTTGGGATACATCGAATAATCGAATAACTTCATTAGTTGGAGTCAATGGGTTGAGAGTGTTTAGAAACACAACGCACTGTATATCGCCGATTTTTCAGTGTTTGGGATTATATTGATCTCAAATACTGTTCAGTATGTGGGATTGATGGAATCCCAAATACTGGATTAACATGGAAGAATTATGGAATAAACTCATTATTTGGAGTCATTGGGTTGAGAGTGTTTCGAAGCACAATGCAATGCATATCGCCGAATTAGGTCAGTATTTGAGATTCCATCAATCGCAAATACTTGTCAGTTTTTAGGATTCCATCAATCCACAATAGTGAAGCTGGGTGTTTGACAGGAATTGAAATCGAACGTTAGGCATTTCAACAGGTAGCTGATCAACGTAATAATTTAGTTATTGAGGTTGAAATTTCTGGTGACCGCCTAATAGTTAAAATATATAACTTTGAGCGCTACTACACATATACATATATGTAAACTGAATCCTCAAACAAATTGCGGATTCCACTTACAGTTTGCGGATTCCACCTGCAATTTGCGGATTCCACTTACAGTCGCGGATTCCGCAACAGCTCAATTTAACTCTACACATCTCTTATTATTTGTTTGTGGATTCCACAAATTGTTCTGGATTCCGCAAATACGGTTGCGGGTTCCGCAAATTCGCCTAATTTTGGAGCGATTTCGAGCGGTACAGTTTTGTAGGTATTTGTCTGTGGAATCCAAAACAGCAAAGATAATCAAAGAAAAGTAGCAATGTTGCAAATTTTTCAACAAATCAGATTTTGTCTTGTTGCGGAATCCGCTTACAATGCACAGAATGCATATTTTGGCCTCGTAATGCAGTTTTTTAAATTATGTACAAATTGTTCCTTTTTTTCAAAGAAATTTATTATTTATCATAAATAGAAAAGTAGTTTTTATATTTATAATAATTTCAACAAACCGATCAGGTAATGGTGTTCAATAAAGATTCCATGAGATACTCGGACTGAACTTATATTTACCTCTTTAACTTTTTTGGATAAGACTGCTGTTGATATCTCAATAGCGTTTGGCGACCACCACGATTCCTCAATTCTCCTAGAGGGTTCCAAAGGGGGTTGCCAAAGGGGGTTAGGTTCCGTAACCCCTTACTTTTGAGGCTATTCTACATTAGCCATTTCTGAGTGAACAAATCTCAAAACTTACTAAAGATATGTTTGCCGCCCTTGTGCACTTATTTTTGAGGGGAGGCTGCACTGAGTTTTTTTGGTTCAAACTCTCCAAAACGTGTTAAAAAATGCATTTTTCCAAAATCAGACGGCGGCACTGTATATATCTGACAATTATGGTAATTTTGACGAGAGATCTTTCGGCAGAGCTCAAAATTTTTATAATGCCTATCCTAAGACAAAGGTTCAAAAAAATTTTCAAATACAAAAACACTAAAAACTATACTGCGATTACAACTGCTTAAATGCGCCACACTGATAGAACAAAAACTGAAAACCACATGTTTACGAAACATATGGGAACATTTTGGTGCAAGACGCAGTTTCAAATGGTTTAATTGGTGTTCCGTGCTCATCGTAACAAAAATACGCGAAAAAGTTTGTGGAATAATTGATTGGATTAATTTGAAGTGTGGGGTCTGTTTGTAGGTCTCCGGAAACACTACTCTCCATCTGGCTGCTTCTGGTGGGTTCCAGGACATAGTCAGTCTACTCCTGGACAATGGCGCCAATGCTCTCGAGGAGAATGATGTTAGCATAGAGACAGTTTTTGAACTTTTGTTATCTTTTCATTAAAATCAATCATCAGGATACTAATACTATTTTTGTGAACCTTGTCTTGAGTTTGTTTTTAAGGGGAGCATAAAACTGAACCAACTTTTTCCTATGATTCGTGAATGCTCTCGGTGTTCTTTTAAGCTCTTTGTTATTTTTCTAATACTAATCTAATAGGAAACAAATGTCTTGTTTGTTAAATAATGTTTGTCTCTGTATTTTATCTTATCCAGGAAGGACTCACCCCCCTCCACCTGGCAGCAATCTTCGGCCACACCAATGTGCTGGAGGTGTTCAAGGGGGCCCAGGTGTCCCTGAACTACTGCAGCAGGGAGAGTGGCCTCACCGCCATACATATGGCCGCCCACTATGGCCAGACTGAGTTCGTTCAGGAACTGCTGCAGGATGTAAGCGAGAAAAGAAGTTTTTTATAATTCAGCTGCGAACAACTGAATATTAATATGGCTATTTAAGTACTACGCTAAGAACAGTATTTAAAACAGTCATTGATGAAAACTTTCAAAACACTGAGACACAAGGTCAGTAAAGCTAATTTAATGAGAATAAAAGTCGACCACTGAGAAAGTTGATTGTTGTACTTTTTTCAGAAGCGGCAGTTTTCTCGGAAATCTTTTTTTCCATCTTTTCAATTTAAATTACTATTTTAAAAAATAAATACTTTTTATAACAAAAATTACACTATTTTAAATTCAGTGTTGGCGTTCCACATTTCTCTTGGAATTTAAACTGAAGCTTGCTTCTTCCAAAGATAAAATGGTGTTTATCCTGGATTATATTTTCATAGAATTTACAAAACAAATTCCATGTCGTTTCAATCTGAAAAACAAATAAACCGTTTCTGAATCCTCGGGGATTGGAAAGGAGTTTTAGCCTAGAGTAGATTTTTTAAACCAAATTACAGCTTGATTGCAGTTCTGGGTTTGTAAATTAAGATTGGTTCTAGTTCTAGTTAGAGGAGTGTGTGGGTCGCTGGTTTAGATCTTTTAAACTTGATTGAAGTCAATTCAACTGCATTTCACTGCTTTAAAAGCTGAATCTCAATTTGGTCAGCTTATTCAAAATGGCCTGAAGTTTTGAATTTTTCGTTTTGCTTTTTTCAAACGTTTTTTGTTTTTTTCTTCAAATTTTTGAAGTTTTAAAAAGGCCAGAAAGTTGTGTGCTAATGATGCAGTTACCAAATGTCCCACACCCTCCTTAGGGGTGTAAAACACTTTGTTTTAGGGAGTTTTTATCTAGCAAACTCAAGTATCTCAAAAAACACTCTTAGGGCATTGACAGTCTTTGAACATGTAAAGATTCGTTTAGACATGGTTTTGAATTCTTGTAATAGGCTTTTTGAAAACGTATCTTAGAATCGAGCAAAAACAAAGGATCTAAAAATATCTTAGGGTCTGAAAATTTCTTCTTCAGACTGAAATTCAGAACGAGCTGTTTGAACTCTGTGTTTCAAAGCAGATAAGTGTTCCCTCAATCGTTTTTGATTGGAAAGTAAATCAGAAGACAAAAAATTCAAGTAGCACATAATAATCCGACCAATCTTTAAAAACAACCCAAAATTTTTTTTTTTGAAATTAGTGTAACTAGTGTAGTGTGCTAAAAGGACCTGATATAAAACTATAATTTAGGCATCTTCTACAGCCAAAGTAAAATAGACTACTTGGACAAAAATTTTTGTAGAAAAAATGACCAAAAACAATTAAATCAAAAAACTTTTTTTTAAAAATTCAATTTTTTGTTTCAATTTTTTTTGGTTCAATTTTTCTGAAACTTTTGGTTCACGAAATGGAATGAAAAAACTCCAAAAACTATTTTTACTTGCTAAATATTAAGTTTTCAGGCATTAACTTAGTCACAATTAAGCTGTTGCAAGCCTGCTCGCTCGCTTTATTCGCGCGATATAAGACGAATAATAAAAAAAAATTCAAACCAATATTTCTCGACATTGGGCAATTTTTTAGAAATTTTTTAGTGTGGTTCAAATCACAATTGTAAGGGCTTTAATATGATATATCTCACAACCCAATCCTGATTTTGCGTGAAAAAAAAAAGAAAAAAACCAAAACCCACCCGAATACAATGTTCCTCCCCAATTTCCATTTTGGAACGAAAATTCTTTTCGAATTTTGGAACAAAAGAAGCTTATTTTGGGATTAATCTAATTAAACATGGTTTGTTCACGCATAAAATTTTCATGAAACAATTGACCTTGAGAACCCAGAAAAAAAGATAGATTCGTAAAATCAAAAAAAGTCTCATATTTATTTTACCGACGACTTTCAGAACATAATAGGTGTAAATTTATATTTAAAAAGATATTCTACGGTTTCAGCAACCAAATTTATTGACTAAAAATCTGTTTAAAGGGGCAAACGAAAGCCACTAAAAATCATCTAATATCTACGAATTTGTTGAATAATGGTTTTTAAGGCGTAGAAAGATCAATTTTTCTAGCCTACTTATTCTGTTTGAAATCTGCATAAACCATTTTCTTAAGATTTCAGACAGATTATTGATTGCCGAAGAGCGCAATCAAAAAAAACACCCGATAAGTTCAATTACGGGCACAATATTTTGCATTGCAAAGAAATAAAACAAAGAATTTCTTTAATTTTTTGAATCGAATTGTTTGCAGTTGAAACCTGCAAATACCGAGCTTAAGTATATTATTGACAAAAAAGTAAAAACAAATCAGTTTTTTTTAAAACGCGAAGATTGTGTAAGTGATTGATTGAGTTTTTAGCTTGAATGCGTTTTTTGAGTAAGAAAAACGATTAAAATGATCAATTAATATCAAATTTTAGGCCAAAAACTTAGAATTGAAACGCAAAAATAAGCTGCCCAGGTATAAATTATTGAAAAATTAAGTAGGAATTGACGATAAATTGTCAATACAAATCAGAATTTGAGCTCAAAAAAAACTGATTAGGTTACCCAAAAATTAAATAAATTCAGCTTTTTTCTACATCAATTTTTAATTTTCGTTTCAATGGAACAACTAATTTGCACGAACGAAATGAAAAAAAAATGACAAGTTTGATAAAAATAAACGTTAAAAAACTTGGTAATTGAAGAGGCATTTGACAAAAAAAACGGATCAAGGTTGATTCAAGTTATGATTTTAATTGATTGCAACTGTAAAGAAACTGATTTCTTTTTTTTGTTTGTTAAAATTGTAGATGTTATTTAAAAATGGGTTTGAACTGACCTATTTTTTATTTGAAATGGTGTAGATGACATCAAACAAGCGTTGATAAACCATTTTGAATTGTTTTTAAAGAAATTTTTGCGTTATATCAACAAAATCCATTGAAAAACATTTTTTGTCAACGAGTCAGAGCCAGCGTTTGTAGCAGTCGATGAACGTTTTTCAGGTTTTTATGTAGGACCTGATGAATTGTTTTTGTTTTTCAGGAAGCATTCACCTTTATGAAATGCAGATTTGAATGACCTTTAGGTATAGGCACTTTTTGAGTTCAGTTCAAGTTCATTTGCTATAAAGTAGGTAAAGTTGGCGTTCTAATTATGAAAGCTGAAGAACACAAAACGTGATCGGTTTCTAGTTGAAAAAGAGTTCAATTTTTTAGATTTCCCAGCGGAAGGAAGCTTTTCCCTAACAATCCAGATTTCGCAAGTTCGGTTAAACTTATTAAAAAATGCTAGTTTTAAATTGTTCTTGAATACCAAAGAGCTTTAAGGCCGTTTATTTTTTGGTCTAAAATTCAAAAATTGAAGGTTTTTAAAAAAAAAGCCGTTTTTTGTTTCTTTGCGTACAAAGACGTCCTTCTAAACCAACTGTTCGTTGGCTATGTTTTATATCAAAAACTTTGGTTGAATATATATGCCTTTACCGGCAGTTGGAATAGGTCTGCTTACTTATTCCGGAAATTTCGTAAGCCTCAAATTATGAAAGTAGAAAAAGAAACGCTTCAATTTGATTGATTCATTTTTCACAAAATTTGAAAATTGAGTTTTATCAAACAATTAAAATATCACTGATACGCTCGCTGTAAATTTATTTTGAGCAGAATGAGTAAAAATACCCGACAAATATCAAAAGTCATTGTACCAGTCTCCGATTATTGTCAGCACAGTTTGTGTAATAGCAATTACTTGATTTTAACTACTCGGTTGAACTAATTATGTGTTAAGAAAATCATTTTTTGTCATTATAGATCTGAGTATCAAGTCAGTATTGATCTAGATAGACCGAAAATGCTAGTCGTACAATTACATACACAAAAATTTTAAAAAATTTTCTAATTTTTTAAACTAAAATAGTGAAATCAAATTTGAAAGAAGTTATGTTTGGATATTAATTCGGTGTATCGTCATAATTAAATAAAGCATTTTCACAAAAATGCAAATCGGACATTTGCAATTAATCGGAATTTGTGCGACTAATTTTAAAAAAAAATTTTGTTGTTGATGGCACCAAAATTTTTAGTTACAAAACTATCACATAACTTTCTTGCTTCTTTTTCAAGAGCAAAGAAAAACTTCCTTAAAAACTTTTTTGCTCGCAATATTTAGTTTTCTGCGAAATAAGTTGATTAATGAACAAAACCCAAAAAGGTTCACAAAATGTGTATTAAAAAGTTTTTTGAAAACATACTAGTGGAAAGTATTCGTATAACAAAAATACTAATCATATACCTTACATGCAATTTCCTGTACTTGTAGAATTGCATGAAAATTAGGATCTTCTTAACAATCAATCCCTATTAAGAAAAGTGGAGTGAGAAAGCAAAATTAGAATTCCTAGTAGAAAGCTTTTTGCTAAACTTTTTATTTATTCATAGGGGAGGGAAGATTGTTGAATAGATCCGAAAATTGCATGATTAGCATATACATAAGTAATAATTGTATTAGCTTTTTTGTATGATCTTTTTGTATTGTATGGTCAACCCGGAGTATTTCAGGTCATAATCTAATTTTAAAATATTTGCATTTAATTGAAGAGCACTGTTTTTCAGTGCTAATGAAAAACTCCTGCAAACCTTCAGCGTTCCAAACAGTTGTAGTTTGCATACATAGACAACTTTGAGCTGGAGAAGAAATCATATCTTGAGCAATAAATGGTACAAAATGCTTATGCAAAAAGTACAGCCAGACAATCTCCCAAACTGATATCTCATTTTTGAGAAGCTGACAAACTGAAAGCCGTGAGAATTGATCGTGAAGAAAAGTAGATATATACATATATTCATTGAAGATCTTGTAGTGTTAGCAGATTTCACATTGAACATTTTAGCTTCCTATTGTAAGTGCGCAATCACAAATTCACATAAAACTAACTATTACGTACTGTGTATATTGAACATTAATTAAACCAGGCGCGGATCTAGGAATTTCTCGAGGGGGGATTTTCAAAAAAAATTTGAATATTTTGTCTACTGTCGTCCATATTGATGATTTTCTGAGGTCTCCCAAGTCACTATAAAGATCCCAGTTTGACCAAACGCGCCGCAGTCAAATTTTTGAAAACAGGCCAAAAAGGCACTTTTTGGAAAATTTCAACAAAAAAATTGCGTAATTTCGGCGCGCGCTCCCCTCAAAATTAGAGAGATTAAGGTCAGTCCGCCAAAAATGGATATCTCAAAACATTTTAAAGGGGGGACCCTTTGGGTCGCAGGGGGTCGAATGCCTGAAAGAAGAGGCGTCGCCCCCCCCCCCCCCCCCCTAAATCCGCTACTGGATGAAACTAAGTTCAATCCGTTCGAATTGTTCTACAATTGTTAGAATGCACAACTATCACCAAAAAAGCACAGAAAACACTTTTCTTATGGTTCTACAAAAACTAATAATCAACAGTTATATGATAATTTCAAAACTGTATAGGTAATATCGAAGGGCGGACAAATGATGACCGCACCGCCTCTGCCCTCAAGAAGTCGACCCCCTCCATACCCGATGTGGTCCCCCTTTAGTACTTTTTTAAAGCATCTATTTTTGGCTACTGAACATTACATTTTCTGAAGGCATATCGAGTGATTATATATATCATTTTTGATGAATGAGGGTGTGACAAAAACTTCAATAAGTACCCAAGAACAAAAAATATTCTTGGCTCAATTTTGCAAAAATTTGCCTCAAGCTCGCAAATTCTGCCTAAATTGGAATATTTTGGGCGTTTTGGGAGATAAAAAACTTAAGTATACCCCGCTTATAAGTGAAAAGGGGGGAGATTTAGTTAAAGAGATTCGTACAGTTTTTCTTAGTCGTCGCAACAAAAACAGCATGTTTAACTGTTTAAGTGTTTTTCTGTGATTTGTTTTTTTCTTTTTCTGCAGGTGGGTGCTCAAGCGGCCAGTTCTCCCCCCGCCGGGCTGCCCCCCGCATACTCCATCGGCCACAGTGACCTAGGGGGAGGGGGCAACCAGGGTGGGGGCGATGGGGGGTTAGGTGGGGGTGCTGGTATGGAGTCTGAGGGAATTGAGTATGGCTTCACCCCCCTCCACCTGGCAGCCGAGAGTGGGTGGGAGAATCTGGTCAGACTGCTCCTCAACTCACCCGGAGTGCAGCCGGATGTTCACACTTCATTGCACGTGAGTATCAACACACACTCCGGTCACAGCTGCCAAAGCAAGATTTGAACTGCTTTCGAGCGCTTTTTTTTTAAATCTGCGAACAGTCTGCGAGTATTTGAACTTACAAAAACAAACAGCTCAGTTTGCGTAAGTTTCGACCCGTTAATTTTAAATCATAACCTCGACCCGGGAATTTATTTCCAAAAATGTGCAGGAGGATGTTTACAGTTTCGAGTCACAACAGGTGCCGCTGTGAACTTTCGTGGTTGTGATTTATAACTTCAAATCTATTTTGTCCAATATGGGGAAGATAGTAGGACATACAGATGACTAACAGATATTTTGTATTTTTGAAAATTAAAATACTTTTCTCAATTGCATCCAACAAGCAAAATAAGGAACCCCTGGCCACTCAAAGAGTACCCCCTTTGATTCTATTTCAAAACATCCATCCTCGGCCAACCGAGTTTCAGTTCTTTGAAGGCACCTTTGGGGGAGCGTCAATGCATAATCAAGCAATTTTAGCCAAAACTTTCCAAAAAGCTCCCAAAATGTTTTTTTTTGGCCAGAGTTGTCAGAAACTTGGCTGCGGCCAGCTTTGGATCTCCTGTTCGGAATTTAAAGAGTGCAGGGAAAAGGAAAAACTAGACTTTGTGGAAGGAGCAAAAGATCACTGCATTGGTGTACTTGCCTATGGCTTAGTAACCTGGGTGGTTGTAATTATGTTGGGATATTTATAGCTACTTGTGTTTACAGGGCACCACACCCCTGCACCTGGCAGCCCAGGCGGGCCACTCCAACGTGATAGGTCTGCTCCTCTCCAAACACGAGGGGCTGCTGAGTGTCTATGACGGGAGAGACAGGAGTGCCCTGCACATGGCGGCTGCCAATGGACACAGGGACTTGTGTGTCCTTCTGGTGGGACAGGGCGCCGATGTGAACAAAAAGGACGTGGTCAGTTACTGCTATAAGAGGCAGACATTGGGCAAATCAGTGTCTTCATGGGGTTCATAGGGTTTTCGGACGGAGTCAGAAAATCAATTTGAATTTTACAAAATAATTTTCTAAACCTTCCCCCCTCATAAATTTCCAAGGCAGGCCCCTGCGTGTGTATTGCTAACATGAAGGACTGAGTGCTTTTGTTAGAATGGGTGGACCCCTCTGCACTTCGCAGCCAAAGCGGGTCACCTGGACACTGTGGAGGCTCTGATGGAGAATGGGGCCAGTGGACTGTTGGAGACGAAGGACCACAAACAGCCCATCTGCTATGCAGCTGCACAATCACACTACGAAGTGCTGATCTATCTGTTGAAGCGGGAACACAACAGCCACACACTCGTCAAGGACTCCAGGGTGAGAAGAAAAAGAGAAAGAAGACAGTTTGCTTTTGCTCTAGCTTAAAAAGATAGGGGGAGGGGGGGGGGTGCTTGGGAACAGTAGTATTTGCGTAACATAGGTCAAAAAGTCGAAGGGTAGCGATCAATATGATCATTTAAAACTCAAAGATGAGAGAGAAATAATACAGCATCTATAAAACACTGATTCATAATTTAAAACATTGATTGGGATCAGACAATCAATGAGGCTGCTGGCCCCGCAGCACTGACACAGAACTGTTTTTCTTTTTACTTCTTCTGCCACATTTTTTACTGCAACGGTCCTGATATTCACTGCAACATCAGTCCGGCCGGGCAAGATGGGACAGGTCAAGGTCAAAGAGTAGTCAAGGTCATGTCATAATCATAACTAGTGAAATATGAAAAGCCAGTCAATATTATCACTGACTCGATAGTCAGTTGTTCGAACCATGCCATGCCTGGTCAGGTTTTAGTCTGATGCAATGTTACATTTAAGGGATCTGTTCCAGTTTCCCTTCCCCCGTAAAATTACAAAAAAAACTGCTCAAAAATTGTTCTCACGGCGTTTTGCATGTGTGAGAAATCATGTAAAAATTTGTTCATTTGTTCGCGCTGGCATGTTTTGAAGCATTTTTTCACCTGAAAAACCATTTTAAATAAATTTTCATCAGAAAATTTCAACTGGGAGACTGGCAAATAACTTTTTGAATATGCTCCTTCCAGTTCCCCCTTTGTATTTTTCTGATTTTCAAAACATTTTCAGGTGAAAAACTGCTTTAAAACGTGTCAGCGTGAACAAGTGAACAAATTTTTACAAGAGCCTTTAAAAAAATCCGAAGCTCCCAGCACCATCAAATAAGTAATGATTGGATAAAAACATCGGCAACGAAAAATTTCAAGCGTTAGGAAAAAAATTGAGATTACTTTCAATGTTTTGACGGATAAAGCGCTTTTTCAAACTTTGAAAAAAAGATTTTCGGAAATACAGTAATGCAGTATTGTTTGCGTGTTCGCTTGGCAATGCAATTAGTGTCTGTTGTCTGTCTTTTAGTTCATCTTCGACATGATCCAGTGTAGTGACAGTGCAGAGGATCCTTACAAGGTGGTGAGGTACTTCATCCTCTGGTCCCCCGCCCCCCTGGAGATAGCACTCAAGCTCAGTGCCAGCTATGCAGGTACACATGACACTCCGTCCAACTAATTAGCTCCTAAGTTTTAATTAAATAGTGCTTTGACTTCAATCAAAAGCAGGTATGTCAAAATGTCTCATTCGCTTCTAAAACTGCCTTTCACTAAGCCTCTATTTTTCGCTTTCTGACTGACCTTAACATGAGCTAAACTGCAAGTTGTAATTATTGATCTGGGCTTCATTGTTTGATTAACCAGCAATTAGATTTTTTTCGCTGTGAGACCACAGGTGCAATAAAATTGAACGTCCTACGCTTTCTACTTTTTGATATGCTTGTCCTTAAAATCTAATTTACTTTTTCGCGCAACTTGGTCGCGAACACGATTAAGTTACCTTTCTATCTTTCTATTGTCGGGGAGTTGAAGGGTTTGGAGCTCGCAAAGATAGATTTTTTAATATATTTTTTGAGCGTCATTGCTATGCTGTTGGGTTATAGCAGAGTCCGATCAATCATCAATTTTCGAGAGTAGAAAGGAGATCAGAAAGGCTTCAATGTTTCACCAATTGAAAACAGTCTAACTTGCTTCTAAGTAACTCCCACTAGGAATTGTACGACGTCCTTAAATGTCAGATTTTAAGCATAAGCATATCCGGGGTTTTTTGCTCAAAAACAAAACTGGACTGTCAGTGTTCTGTGTTGCATTAAGAAAGTGTGTCCAGATCGTGGCTATGTACTCAGATACTACAGATTTGGCTTTGATTTGGCTGTTGACGATTCCTCCGACTATTACCGACTCGATTAGATTGGATAGAGATGGTTGACTCTTGATCCACTTGTACCTGACTAAACAATAGTTAGTTATGTGGCAATAACTTCACGAATGGGGACTTTTTTCTCCAATGCAAGCCTGATTGTACCACCCTCTTCATCTCTGGTCAAAATCAGCTGCTGCTGAACAAACATCAACTTTCCTGGGTTATGAACAGATATTTGAGTGTTCTGACTGACCTTAACATGAGCTAAACTGCAAGTTGTAATTATTGATCTGGGCTTCATTGTTTGATTAACCAGCAATTAGATTTTTTTCGCTGTGAGACCACAGGTGCAATAAATTTGAACGTCCTACGCTTTCTACTTTTTGATATGCTTGTCCTTAAAATCTAATTTACTTTTTCGCGCAACTTGGTCGCGAACACGATTAAGTTACCTTTCTATCTTTCTATTGTCGGGGAGTTGAAGGGTTTGGAGCTCGCAAAGATAGATTTTTTAATATATTTTTTGAGCGTCATTGCTATGCTGTTGGGTTATAGCAGAGTCTGATCAATCATCAATTTTCGAGAGTAGAAAGGAGATCAGAAAGGCTTCAATGTTTCACCAATTGAAAACAGTCTAACTTGCTTCTAAGTAACTCCCACTAGGAATTGTACGACGTCCTTAAATGTCAGATTTTAAGCATAAGCATATCCGGGGTTTTTTGCTCAAAAACAAAACTGGACTGTCAGTGTTCAGTGTTGCATTAAGAAAGTGTGTCCAGATCGTGGCTATGTACTCAGATACTACAGATTTGGCTTTGATTTGGCTGTTGACGATTCCTCCGACTATTACCGACTCGATTAGATTGGATAGAGAAGGTTGACTCTTGATCCACTTGTACCTGACTAAACAATAGTTAGTTATGTGGCAATAACTTCACGAATGGGGACTTTTTTCTCCAATGCAAGCCTGATTGTACCACCCTCTTCATCTCTGGTCAAAATCAGCTGCTGCTGAACAAACATCAACTTCCCTGGGTTATGAACAGATATTTGAATGTAGCTCTTTCCTGATCTGCGGGCTAGTTACCAAACACGGGTTGAGTAGTGAGACGAGCATAGATTGAAAAAGTTCGCTGTAGTCATGGAATTAGTATAATACAACGTGTTATCCGCTCTAATGTATAGTCCTTGTCCACCTTGAAAATGACGTCATAAGTCTTGTGAAAATCACTTCGCATTTTTGAGTGCAAAAATGGAGAATTAGAATCCTTAAATCTTCGTTTTCTTTCCCAGTGAAAAAAAAAACGAAGTTTTGCCTTTGCTTGGTGATAATGATATTATTCTCGAGCATACGAGAACCTTTCCTCATCCTCCTCCCCGAGTTGAGATCATCCCATCTATCCACCTAACAGCCGCCTGTTTCTCGAGATTCCTGGAACACTTCTGTGTCGCATCTCCCGAGCTGCCAGGATCCCCGGTTTTGGCGTTTTCTCATCGCCACAAACCAGCCGATCGCAGAGCCAATCAATTAGACGGTTTATTAAAAAATCCAATCTAAGTTTCCCATAAAAGGAGAAGGAATTGAAGCTGTCGGTGAGAATGAGTTGTTACCCACAACAGAGAAGTCCTGACTGCATGTATAGGAACTGCTGGCTGCCCACTTGCCTCACATGCTCAGTATGTTAAGCAATAAACATCTAAATAGAGGCGGAAGGTCACTCCTTGTGACAAGTTTTCAAATAGTTTTGCATTTTCAATTAGCTTCTCTGCTATCAATTACTTGTAATTGCTTCTATTTCTCCGTCCTATTCTGATTGTTAATCGATTTGTTTGCTGGATGTGTTGATATGAGCTGCTGTGTGGTGTGTTGTGTTCAGAGCAGAGTGTGCAGCGGAAGGACAGGGCCAAGGAGTTCTTTCTGGCCAGTAGCTTCTGCCAGACGATGGGTGTGGACCTGACCAGCGTCACCACTTCTATAGTCGACACTGAGGACGTCGCAAATGTAAGAGCAGAGCACAGTCGGAACAACAGTTTGTTCATCATTTTATACCTATAGGTTTCATATATTGTCTGCTGCCTGTGTTTTGTTTGTATTTTGGTTCAGCCCAGTGTTGTCCACTTACACTTTTTAAGCATTTATAACAGTAGTTCTGTTCTGATGAGTCTGGCTGTGTTCCAACTGTAGTCTCTGGACCTGCATGGATCCTCCCTGCTGGACATCATGATAGAGTGTGAACAGAAGGAGGTGGTGGCCCATGCCAGTGTCCAGAAGTACCTCTCAGATCTATGGATGGGACACTACACTGTAGCACCCTGGATGGTGGGCCATTAAATATACACTATTTATATATATCATTTTTGATGACTTCCACCTTTCATCTTTTTTTACAATAATCTCAGCCAAATTTAATATCTGCTGGGCTCGCAAATTTTGGATCAAAACACTGGTTGTTTTCATCATCGCATTATCACATGACCACTCAAAGTTGAATAAAAAATAAGTTATATTTGAATCAGAGCAAAATCGAAGAATTGGCTGGAAATTTCCATCAAAACGTGTATGTTTTGAAAAAGTTTAGGCGTTCAGTGTTTTACGTGGATCAATTTTTTGCTTGCAAAATTTTTCCACGTAGGGTATCAAAATTCGGAAATTTTGAATTTTCTTTTCATGGTTTATTGTATCCGGAACAATCGAATATATGATGACCAATGGATTTTTCAGCCAGCTCGTAAAGCACCAACTCGCAGTAAAAGACAACATGCCAAAATTTTCACTTAATGAGTTTTTTTCGAACTTGGTAGCTGTCTTTTGTAAAGTGTGGTTTTTGGTTGTGAGTTGTGGCGATACCGATATTGATAATGATGTATTATGTATAGATCTTCATGCTGTTGGTGGCCAGTCTACTGCCCCCTGTGTTCTTCCTCCTCTCCCTTCCCATCCGTCGCTTCACCCTCAACCGAATCCCCCTCCTCAAGATGCTTCTCTACATCATCTCCCACCTCTACTTCATAGCACTCCTCTCCCTCACCATCGCATTCAAACTGGACTGGAGGACCACTCAGGACAACCTACTCATACCCAGGTGGAATGAGTGGCTACTAGGTGAGATTCACACTTTTCTCATAAGAATAATTAACACTCAGAAGAACAAACTCATACCCAGGTGGAATGAGTGGCTACTAGGTGAGACTCACACTTTTCTCATAAGAATAATTAACACTCAGAAGAACAAACTCATACCCAGGTGGAATCAGTGGCTACTAGGTGAGACTCACACTTTTTTCAATAGAAGAATTAACACTCAGAAGAACAAACTCATACCCAGGTGGAATGAGTGAGTACTAGGTGGGACTCACACTTTTCTCATTCGAAAAATCAACACTCAGAAGAACAAACTCATACCCAGGTGGAATGAGTGGCTACAAGGTGAGACTCACACTTTTCTGATTAGAATAATTAACACTCAGAAGAACAAACTCATACCCAGGTGGAATGAGTGTCTAATAGGTGAGACTCACACTTTTCTCATTAGAATAATTAACACTCAGAAGAACAAACTCATACCCAGGTGGAATGAGTGGCTACTAGGTGACACTCACACTTTTCTGATTAGAATAATTAACACTCAGAAGAACAAACTCATACCCAGGTGGAATGAGTGGCTAATAGGTGAGACTCACACTTTTCTCATTAGAATAATTAACACTCAGAAGAACAAACTCATACCCAGGTGGAATGAGTGGCTACTAGGTGAGACTCACACTTTTTTCAATAGAAGAATTAACATTCAGAAGAACAAACTCATACCCAGGTGGAATGAGTGAGTACTAGGTGGGACTCACACTTTTCTCATTCGAAAAATCAACACTCAGAAGAACAAACTCATACCCAGGTGGAATGAGTGGCTACAAGGTGAGACTCACACTTTTCTGATTAGAATAATTAACACTCAGAAGAACAAACTCATACCCAGGTGGAATGAGTGGCTAATAGGTGAGACTCACACTTTTCTCATTAGAATAATTAACACTCAGAAGAACAAACTCATACCCAGGTGGAATGAGTGGCTACTAGGTGACACTCACACTTTTCTGATTAGAATAATTAACACTCAGAAGAACAAACTCATACCCAGGTGGAATGAGTGGCTAATAGGTGAGACTCACACTTTTCTCATTAGAATAAATAACACTCAGAAGAAAAAACTCATATCCAGGTGGAATGAGTGACTACTAGGTGAGAATCGAACTTTTCTCATTCGAATAATTAACACTTAGAAGAACAAACTCATACCCAGGTGGAATGAGACGCTACAAGGTGAGACTCACACTTTTCTGATTAGAATAATTAACTCTCAGAAGAACAAACTCTTACCCAGGTGGAATGAGTGGCTAATAGGTGAGACTCACACTTTTCTCATTAGAATAATTAACACTCAGAAGAACAAACTCATACCCAGGTGGAATGAGTGACTACTAGGTGAGAATCGAACTTTTCTCATTCGAATAATTAACACTCAGAAGAACAAACTCATACCCAGGTGGAATGAGACGCTACAAGGTGAGACTCACACTTTTCTGATTAGAATAATTAACACTCAGAAGAACAAACTCATACCCAGGTGGAATGAGTGGCTACTAGGTGACACTCACACTTTTCTCAATAGAAAAATTAACACTCAGAAGAACAAACTCATACCCAGGTGGAATGAGTGACTACTAGGTGAGAATCGAACTTTTCTCATTCGAATAATTAACACTCAGAAGAACAAACTCATACCCAGGTGGAATGAGACGCTACAAGGTGAGACTCACACTTTTCTGATTAGAATAATTAACACTCAGAAGAACAAACTCATACCCAGGTGGAATGAGTGGCTACAAGGTGAGACTCACACTTTTCCGATTAAAATAATTAACACTCAGAAGAACAAACTCATACCCAGGTAGAATGAGTGGCTACTAGGTGAGACTCACACTTTTCTCATTAGAATAATTAACACTCAGAAGAACAAACTCATACTCAGGTGGAATGAGTGGCTACATGGTGAGACTCACACTTTTTTGATTAGAATAACTAACACTCAGAAGAACAAACTCATACCCAGGTGGAGTGCGTGGCTACTAGGTGAGACTCACACTTTTCTCCTTAGAATAATTAACACTCAGAAGAACAAACTCATACCCAGGTGGAATGAGTGGCTACAAGGTGAGACTCACACTTTTCTGATTAGAATAATTAACACTCAGAAGAACAAACTCATACCCAGGATGAATGAGTGGCTACTAGGTGAGACTCACACTTTTCTCATTAGAATTATAAACTCTCAGAAGAACAATTTCATACCCAGGTGGAATGAATGGCTACTAGGTGAGACTGACACTTTTCTCATTAGAATAATTAACACTCAGGAGAACAAACTCATACCCAGGTTGAATGAGTGGCTACTACGTGAGACGCACACTTTTCTGATTAGAATAATTAACACTCAGAAGAACAAACTCATACCCAGGTGGAATGAGTGGCTACTAGGTGACACTCACACTTTTCTCAATAGAAAAATTAACACTCAGAAGAACAAACTCATACCCAGGTGGAATGAGTGGCTACAAGGTGAGACTCACACTTTTCCGATTAGAATAATTAACACTCAGAAGAACAAACTCATACCCAGGTAGAATGAGTGGCTACTAGGTGAGACTCACACTTTTCTCATTAGAATAATTAACACTCAGAAGAACAAACTCATACTCAGGTGGAATGAGTGGCTACATGGTGAGACTCACACTTTTTTGATTAGAATAACTAACACTCAGAAGAACAAACTCATACCCAGGTGGAATGCGTGGCTACAAGGTGAGACTCACACTTTTCTGATTAGAATAATTAACACTCAGAAGAACAAACTCATACCCAGGATGAATGAGTGGCTACATGGTGAGACTCACACTTTTTTTGATTAGAATAACTAACACTCAGAAGAACAAACTCATACCCAGGTGGAATGCGTGGCTACTGGGTGAGACTCACATTTTTCTCCTTAGAATAATTAACACTCAGAAGAACAAACTCATACCCAGGTGGAATGAGTGGCTACAAGGTGAGACTCACACTTTTCTGATTAGAATAATTAACACTCAGAAGAACAAACTCATACCCAGGATGAATGAGTGGCTACTATGTGAGACTCACACTTTTCTCATTAGAATTATAAACTCTCAGAAGAACAATTTCATACCCAGGTGGAATGAATGGCTACTAGGCGAGACTGACACTTTTCTCATTAGAATAATTAACACTCAGGAGAACAAACTCATACCCAGGTTGAATGAGTGGCTACTACGTGAGACGCACACTTTTCTGATTAGAATAATTAACACTCAGAAGAACAAACTCATACCCAGGTGGAATGAGTGGCTTCTAGGCGAGACTCACACTTTTCTCATAAGAATAATACACACTCAGAAGAACAAACTCATACCCAAGATGAATGAATGGCTACTAGGAGAGACTTACACTTTGCTCATTAGAATTTTTAACACTAAGAAGAACAAACTCATAATAAGTGGAATGAGTGGCTACTGGTGAGACTCACACTTTTCTGACTACAATAATTAACACTCAGAAGAACATACCCAGGATGAATGAACGGCTACTAGGAGAGACTCACACTTTGCTCATTAGAATAATTAACACTAAGAAGAACAAACTCATACCCAGTGGAATGAGTGGCTACTGGTAACACTCACACTTTTCTGATTAGAATAATTAACACTCAGAAGAACAAACTCATACCCAGGTGGAATGAGTGACTACTAAGTGAGAATCGAACTTTTCTCATTCGAATAATTAACACTCAGAAGAATAAACTCATACCCAGGTGGAATGAGTGGCTACTGGTGACACTCACACTTTTCTGATTAGAATAATTAACACTCAGAAGAACAAACTCATACCCAGGTGGAATGAGTGACTACTAGGTGAGAATCGAACTTTTCTCATTCGAATAAGTAACACTCAGAAGAATAAACTCATACCCAGGTGGAATGAGTGGCTACTAGGTGACACTCACACTTTTCTCAATAGGAAATTTAAGACTCAGAAGAACAAACTCATACCCAGGTGGAATGAGTGGCTACAAGGTGAGACTCACACTTTTCCCATTAGAATAATTAACACTCAGAAGAACAAACTCATACCCAGGTAGAATGAGTGGCTACTAGGTGAGACTCACACTTTTCTCATTAGAATAATTAACACTCAGAAGAACAAACTCATACTCAGGTGGATTGAGTGGCTACAAGGTGAGACTCACACTTTTTTGATTAGAATAACTAACACTCAGAAGAAGAAACTCATACCCAGGTGGATTGAGTGGCTCCTAGGTGAGACTCACACTTTTCTCCTTAGAATAATTAACACTCAGAAGAACAAACTCATACCCAGGTGGTATTAGTGGCTACAAGGTGAGACTCACACTTTTCTGATTAGAATAATTAACACTCAGAAGAACAAACTCATACCCAGGTGGAATGAGTGACTACTAAGTGAGAATCGAACTTTTCTCATTCGAATAATTAACACTCAGAAGAATAAACTCATACCCAGGTGGAATGAGTGGCTACTGGTGACACTCACACTTTTCTGATTAGAATAATTAACACTCAGAAGAACAAACTCATACCCAGGTGGAATCAGTGACTACTAGGTGAGACTCACACTTTTTTGATTAGAATAACTAACACTCAGAAGAATAAACTCATACCCAGGTGGAATGAGTGGCTACAAGGTGAGACTCACACTTTTCCGATTAGAATAAGTAACACTCAGAAGAATAAACTCATACCCAGGTGGAATGAGTGGCTACTAGGTGACACTCACACTTTTCTCAATAGAAAATTTAAGACTCAGAAGAACAAACTCATACTCAGGTGGAATGAGTGGCTACAAGGTGAGACTCACACTTTTTTGATTAGAATAACTAACACTCAGAAGAATAAACTCATACCCAGGTGGAATGAGTGGCTACAAGGTGAGACTCACACTTTTCCGATTAGAATAATTAACACTCAGAAGAACAAACTCATACCCAGGTAGAATGAGTGGCTACTAGGTGAGACTCACACTTTTCTCATTAGAATAATTAACACTCAGAAGAACAAACTCATACTCAGGTGGAATGAGTGGCTACAAGGTGAGACTCACACTTTTTTGATTAGAATAACTAACACTCAGAAGAAGAAACTCATACCCAGGTGGAATGAGTGGCTCCTAGGTGAGACTCACACTTTTCTCCTTAGAATAATTAACACTAAGAAGAACAAACTCATACCCAGGTGGTATGAGTGGCTACAAGGTGAGACTCACACTTTTCTGATTAGAATAATTAACACTCAGAAGAACAAACTCATACCCAGGATGAAAGAGTGGCAACTAGGTGAGACTCACACTTTTTTCATTACAATTATAAACTCTCAGAAGAACAATTTCATACCCAGGTGGAGTGAGTGGCTACTAGGTGAGACTGACACTTTTCTGACTACAATAATTAACACTCAGAAGAACATACCCAGGATGAATGAACGGCTACTAGGAGAGACACACACTTTGCTCATTAGAATAATTAACACTGAGAAGAACAAACTCATACCCAGTGGAATGAGTGGCTACTGGTGACACTCACACTTTTCTGATTAGAGTAATTAACACTCAGAAGAACAAACTCATACCCAGGATGAATGAATGGCTACTAGGAGAGATTCACACTCTTATCATTCGAATAACTAAAACTCAGAAGAACAAACTCATACCCAGGTGGAATGAGTGGCTACAAGGTGAGACTCACACTTTTCTGATTAGAATAATTAACACTCAGAAGACCAAACTCATAACCAGGATGAATGAGTGGCTACTAGGTGAGACTCACACTCTTATCATTAGAATTATAAACTCTCAGAAGAACAATTTCATACCCAGGTGGAATGAATGGCTACTAGGTGAGACTGACACTTTTCTCATTAGAATAATTAACACTCAGGAGAACAAACTCATACCCAGGTTGAATGAGTGGCTACTAGGTGAGACGCACACTTTTCTGATTAGAATAATTAACACTCAGAAGAACAAACTCATAACCAGGTGGAATGAGTGGCTTCTAGGTGAGACTCACACTTTTCTCATAAGAATAATACACACTCAGAAGAACAAACTCATACCCAAGATGAATGAATGGCTACTAGGAGAGACTTACACTTTGCTCATTAGAATTTTTAACACTAAGAAGAACAAACTCATAATAAGTGGAATGAGTGGCTACTGGTGAGACTCACACTTTTCTGACTACAATAATTAACACTCAGAAGAACATACCCAGGATGAATGAACGGCTACTAGGAGAGACTCACACTTTGCTCATTAGAATAATTAACACTATGAAGAACAAACTCATATCCAGTGGAAAGAGTGGCTACTGGTGACACTCACACTTTTCTGATTAGAATAATTAACAGTCAGAAGAACAAACTCATACCCAGGTGGAATGAGTGACTACTAGGTGAGAATCGAACTTTTCTCATTCGAATAATTAACACTCAGAAGAATAAACTCATACCCAGGTGGAATGAGTGGCTACTGGTGACACTCACACTTTTCTGATTAGAATAATTAACACTCAGAAGAACAAACTCATACCCAGGTGGAATGAGTGACTACTAGGTGAGAATCGAACTTTTCTCATTCGAATAAGTAATACTCAGAAGAATAAACTCATACCCAGGTGGAATGAGTGGCTACTAGGTAACACTCACACTTTTCTGATTAGAATAATTAACACTCAGAAGACCAAACTCATAACCAGGATGAATGAGTGGCTACTAGGTGAGACTCACACTCTTATCATTAGAATTATAAACTCTCAGAAGAACAATTTCATACCCAGGTGGAATGAATGGCTACTAGGTGAGACTGACACTTTTCTCATTAGAATAATTAACACTCAGGAGAACAAACTCATACCCAGGTTGAATGAGTGGCTACTAGGTGAGACGCACACTTTTCTGATTAGAATAATTAACACTCAGAAGAACAAACTCATAACCAGGTGGAATGAGTGGCTTCTAGGTGAGACTCACACTTTTCTCATAAGAATAATACACACTCAGAAGAACAAACTCATACCCAAGATGAATGAATGGCTACTAGGAGAGACTTACACTTTGCTCATTAGAATTTTTAACACTAAGAAGAACAAACTCATAATAAGTGGAATGAGTGGCTACTGGTGAGACTCACACTTTTCTGACTACAATAATTAACACTCAGAAGAACATACCCAGGATGAATGAACGGCTACTAGGAGAGACTCACACTTTGCTCATTAGAATAATTAACACTAAGAAGAACAAACTCATATCCAGTGGAAAGAGTGGCTACTGGTGACACTCACACTTTTCTGATTAGAATAATTAACAGTCAGAAGAACAAACTCATACCCAGGTGGAATGAGTGACTACTAGGTGAGAATCGAACTTTTCTCATTCGAATAATTAACACTCAGAAGAATAAACTCATACCCAGGTGGAATGAGTGGCTACTGGTGACACTCACACTTTTCTGATTAGAATAATTAACACTCAGAAGAACAAACTCATACCCAGGTGGAATGAGTGACTACTAGGTGAGAATCGAACTTTTCTCATTCGAATAAGTAATACTCAGAAGAATAAACTCATACCCAGGTGGAATGAGTGGCTACTAGGTAACACTCACACTTTTCTCAATAGAAAATTTAAGACTCAGAAGAACAAACTCATACCCAGGTGGAATGAGTGGCTACAAGGTGAGACTCACACTTTTCCGAATAGAATAATTAACACTCAGAAGAACAAACTCATACCCAGGTAGAATGAGAGACTACTAGGTGAGACTCACACTTTTCTCATTAGAATAATTAACACTCAGAAGAACAAACTCATACTCAGGTGGAATGAGTGGCTACAAGGTGAGACTCACACTTTTTTGATTAGAATAACTAACCTTCAGAAGAAGAAACTCATACCCAGATGGAATGAGTGGCTCCATGGTGAGACTCACACTTTTTTTGATTAGAATAACTAACACTCAGAAGAACAAACTCATACCCAGGTGGAATGCGTGGCTACTGGGTGAGACTCACACTTTTCTCCTTAGAATAATTAACACTCAGAAGAACAAACTCATACCCAGGTGGTATGAGTGGCTACAAGGTGAGACTCACACTTTTCTGATTAGAATAATTAACACTCAGAAGAACAAACTCATACCCAGGATGAATGAGTGGCTACTAGGTGAGACTCACACTTTTTTCATTACAATTATAAACTCTCAGAAGAACAATTTCATACCCAGGTGGAGTGAGTGGCTACTAGGTGAGACTGACACGTTTCTGACTACAATAATTAACACTCAGAAGAACATTCCCAGGATGAATGAACGGCTACTAGGAGAGACACACACTTTGCTCATTAGCATAATTAACACTAAGAAGAACAAACTCATACCCAGTGGAATGAGTGGCTACTGGTGACACTCACACTTTTCTGATTAGAGTAATTAACACTCAGAAGAACAAACTCATACCCAGGATGAATGAATGGCTTAGGAGAGATTCACACTCTTATCATTCGAATAACTAAAACTCAGAAGAACAAACTCATACCCAGGTGGAGTGAGTGGCTACAAGGTGAGACTCACACTTTTCTGATTAGAATAATTAACACTCAGAAGAACAAACTCATAACCAGGATGAATGAGTGGCTACTAGGTGAGACTCACACTTTTCTCATTACAATTATAAACTCTCAGAAGAACAATTTCATACCCAGGTGGAGTGAGTGGCTACTAGGTGAGACTGACACTTTTCTCATTAGAATAATTAACACTCAGGAGAACAAACTCATACCCAGGATGAATGAGTGGCTACTAGGTGAGACTCACACTTCTCTGATTAGAAAAATTAACACTCAGAAATACAAACTCATACCCAGGTGGAATGAGTGGCTTCTAGGTGAGACTCACACTTTTCTCATAAGAATAATTAACACTCAGAAGAACAAACTCATACTCAGGTGGAATGAGTGGCTACATGGTGAGACTCACACTTTTTTGATTAGAATAACTAACACTCAGAAGAACAAACTCATACCCAGGTGGAATGCGTGGCTACTAGGTGAGACTCACACTTTTCTCCTTAGAATAATTAACACTCAGAAGAACAAACTCATAACCAGGATGAATGAGTGGCTACTAGGTGAGACTCACACTTTTCTCATTACAATTATAAACTCTCCGAAGAACAATTTCATACCCAGGTGGAGTGAGTGGCTACTAGGTGAGACTGACACTTTTCTCATTAGAATAATTAACACTCAGGAGAACAAACTCATACCCAGGATGAATGAGTGGCTACTAGGTGAGACTCACACTTCTCTGATTAGAAAAATTAACACTCAGAAATACAAACTCATACCCAGGTGGAATGAGTGGCTTCTAGGTGAGACTCACACTTTTCTCATAAGAATAATTAACACTCAGAAGAACAAACTCATACTCAGGTGGAATGAGTGGCTACATGGTGAGACTCACACTTTTTTGATTAGAATAACTAACACTCAGAAGAACAAACTCATACCCAGGTGGAATGCGTGGCTACAAGGTGAGACTCACACTTTTCTGATTAGAATAATTAACTCATTCCGTCCAACAACACAGCTTTTGTAAATTAAACGCGTTGTTCAAACCATGGTTTGGCAAAGCATATTGATTTTCAAGCAATCAGACTGGAGCGTTTTAACTGGTCTTTTCATGATTTGACATGTGATCAATTTGGGCGGAATGCGTGAAAGACGACGCCTCTAGCTCTTACCTTCTCTTCTGTTCCAGTGCTGTTCATCTGTGGACTGGCCCTCTCTGAAATACTGCAGCCGTCCAGTCTGAATGGACTGAGCAGTCTCAAGATAGTCGTCATCCTCCTCGGCTGCATCTCCATCCTCATACACGCAGCCGCATTCGCCATCTCAGACTACGGTAACACTCCTCTACTTGTAGTCACCTGCTACCAATAGCGGGTTAGTTGCTCTCTTATAGCGCCCTCATCACCCCCCGAGTCCAGATTTTTCATCTATTTTGAAACAAGATTTGAGTGGTTAGATTTTTTTTTAGAGGACTGAGATCAAAATCTCGCTTAAAAATGAGCGGTTTGATCGGTTTTTGAGCGCTTTTCTTCATAAACCTCAGCGGTTTTTTAGGTATGCCTACAAAAACCGCGCAAGATTTGAACGGTTTTTGAGCGGTTCATCTACAAAAATGCAAGCTATCGATTTGACGTCCATTCAAGAAAACGTTCGGCTATTTTCTGTTATACGGCCAATATTCATGATATTGCTATTTTGAAAAATGAGCTATAACGCTTGATTCTGATTGAACCAAATTAACAAATGCGAAGGAAACTTAAAGCTTAATTACCAAAACATACTAGCGCATTCAGCGTTTTGATAATTTTGGGCCGCATAACAGAAAAGACCAAGAAGCTTGTCATATAGTTTCATATATAGCATTTGTGGAAAAAATACTTTTCCTACAATTTTTAATATGAAAATTAAATTATAAGCATATAACAGATACGAAAAAAAAAATAAGAGTCATAGGAGTTTGATCCCTTACATTTTATTTCGCTGCAATTCTGGCCTACAGCAGCCGCCCCCATTTTCAAGCGTTAATAATTGATTATATAATATGATGTTCGGACAAGTCTTGCTAAAATGGAGAAAAATTTGTTTTATCTATTTATTTATTGATTATAATCTCACTATTTGAAATCAAATTAAAATGATTTATAATATATATATATATATATATATATATATATATATATATATATATATATATATATTTTTTCCGATTATAATCGATCATTAATCCACATTTTTTGATACAATAACAATATATTATAATTGATCATTTTAAATCCAATTTCTAATTCATATGCTTTGCACATAAGTTCACTATACTTTTTATTATCAATTGCAATCTCTCTTGTCCATTTTGTTTTCGACTTCGCATCTGAATTGCTTATATTTCATTTTTTTTGTAGTGGTTAATTTATGTGATTAAATTAATTTTTTAAAAAGTTTTCAAATTTTGTGATGCGATTTTTCGAGTTCGTACATTTTAAAATCTGATGCACAGTTTATTTTTTAAACCACCAAAACATCAGCACTTTACTTTGGTTTCAAGATTCTTTAGAAAGCTTATCTTCACCTGCTGTGAGAATCTTTCAACTAATATGAAGGGATCTGCATGAAACCATTTGTTTCGTGGTGATATTTTGTGCTCAGATGAACCAAAGATGAACCAAAGTGATTGTGACAAAAATTTGGCATAATGAGAGATTATAGTTTAAAACTACAGATTAAACTATTAGCATTAAAAGTTGATATTTTGAAAATTAACTTAGTAATTTTTGATTTGGTCAAAACCCGGGTCGAGGTCGTGGTTCTATGTGCAGAGTCCAAAAGTCTCAATCAACCGTACAAATAGAGTTGGGTTGAAGTAAGCCAACCAGCACAAAACAATAATTATAATGGCGCCGAGGTGAAACATTATACTAGCTGGACCTTGGGTAATAGTGTAAATGATCTTTGGGAACATTTGATAAAAGATGAAGTTCGATAAATTTGACTTGTTCATAAAAAAGACCACTTTTTCGAAGCCACAGGGTTACAGTTTTCGGATATACTTAATAATATCCCCCTTCACCTATGAATGAATACAATAAATTATCACATAGCTTTCTATTGCAAATTCTGATTTTGCAGCATTCTGATTGGTCGGAAGTTCGACTGTTTTAATCTAAATAAGGGGGGATTATTGAGTAGATCCCAATTTTCATATAATTTCTGACTTTAGAATTTTGTATGAATACACTACATTAAGCAGTTGTACATATAAGCAAAGTGTATGACTTGCATTGTCCCTAAAAGAATTACTAATTTTTTGCATTTCGCAAGGAACTATCACAAAAACGTAAATGTTTGTAAACGTCTAGAAAACTTCAACATTGAAAAAGTTTAGTTGTTAAAAAGGTGACGTGTGTTTCTGACAGACTCATGTTAATCTTAACATAAAAAATAATAATAAAAATTCTAACTGCACGAAAAACAATTATCAAAGTGTTTTAAGTATGTGTGAAAATGCCGTTTTTATGTCTAAAGTACATTTTAGTTTTTGACTTTTTTCTTTTTTTATTGTAGTCTTCCAAAGAAAATGCTCAACATACCGTGTTATATATCGAATTTGTATGATAAATTGTTTTCGAAGACCCCCATGTATGGAATCCTGTGACCAGCAGTTTTCTCGTATGAAACTGTGTGACGAGCATTTTCTTGTTTGAAAACAACCCGGGCCTTAAATTACTGAAAAAATTAAAACTAGCCTTTTCAAGCATAAATAACTCGATAAACAGTTCCATAAGGCATTATGAAATAAGCTCTCTGTTTTCGGCTGAGAACCACATTTTTGGTAGATAGAAGCGCGTAAAATTATACGCCCGTACCTTGTGAATTTGCTATACAAGATCTGGAATTGTTTTATTTCTAACAAAAGTTGGTTCTGAGATCTGAAATTGGCTATTTCAGATTTTTGATTCAAAACTAAAATTTCCAGATATAAAATTTAAACCTGAAAACCTGAAATTTTTGATCTGAATTGACCTCGAAAAACAACATTTAAGATCTGATATTAATTCTGAGGAACCCTTTCTTGTTATTTTCTTTGTTGTTCTGCAATATAGAATTATATAAAAAATAGTTAGTGGTGAAAAAAAACTTGCGGTTAAATACCCAAACTTGTTTTTTTTTCTAGTGATTTTCTGGTTCAACTTTAAAAAAAAAATTGTTAGAAGACCTATCATTTTATTGATTTTGGTGCGCTACTTATGCATTTTTGATCTTTATCTCATGTTTGTGGAAAGATATTATAGTCGTCTCCAATAGGAGATTTTGCTAAGCACCTGCTAGGAGCTAGCAGAAGCTATAAAGTACAGAAGTACCTAAAACAGCAATTTTTGTGTCAGAATCATTGATATCTTCAGATCTGAAGTGATCAAGGAAAACAAAACTCCGGACCTGAAATTTAGATCTGAAATAAACGTCTTCAGATCTGAAAAAACCAGGAAAATTAAAATTTCAGATCTGGAATTACATCTTAAAGAACCCATTCTTGAGGTATCCAAGGGTTGTTTTAATTTTTCACAACCAATTTCAGATCTGAAAATCTGATTTAGAACATTTACTAGGCGGTTATCTTCAAAAATGTAAACGATAAGCTGAATATAGTCATCGTTGTCTCAAAATACCAATATTTAGTCAACACGGTAAAACATAAAACTACGAATTCGACCAAGGATTGAAATAGAAAAACCCCGATTCGTTTGCCCAGAGCTACCTCCATAACTCTTTTTTTTGCATACCTAGCTAACTTTATTTTTGCTTAGTGTTCTTATATGTGGAGTCGTTTAATTGGTAAAAAGTTGCCCAGTATAAATGAAAGTTGTCAAAACACTCGCCTGTAGGTTTGACTTTTCGTAGTCAAGCTGGTCTTTTATTCTGTGACATTGTTCGTGTTGTGTGTAGAGGGTCAGTATGACATGATCTACATCCGGAACCAAGTGCTGGGCTGTGTGTTGCTCTGCTGCTTCGCCCAACTGCTCGACTTCCTCACCTTCCACCACATGTTCGGACCCTGGGCCATCATCATCTCCGACCTGATGAAGGACCTGTTCCGCTTCATGATACTCATGGGTCTCTTCATACTTGGATTCACACTCCAGGTATGCTTCATTTTCGGGATTAAATTTTAAAAAACGCTCAAGATTTGAGCGGTTTGAGCGGTTCTTGCCAGGATTTGAGCGGTTTTTGAGCGCAATCGTCAAAAAAAGCCGCTGGAACCGCTCAAATCTTGAGCGGTTTTTGAGCGGGATCTCGACTAGGGACATTATAAATTGGTGAGTTTGAGCCATTTACTCGTTCAAAGGCTATTACACCAGGTAAATTGGTTTTATTGGACACAATCAAAGCTGATCATGGAGAGCCGCTGTTTTACACCCTAGATTATGAGCTAAATTCCAAGAATCGAGGAATCAGTTTTGATAGCCGAAAATATTGTAGCCGATTTAGTCGACCAGGAAAATCAATAAATTGATAGTGGTCTAGCTCTAACTAGGTCTAGCTATTACATAGCAGCAGTACTTAGGAGCTGCAATTGTGTGTGTCTGTATAGTTGAGTTTTGATTCAGGTGTCGACAATCAGACAGCCGGCGTACCCGGAGGACTTCTGCACCTCCATAGGCAGACACCCCCTGAAGAACCCCTCGACTGGACAGAACAACACCTACTACGTGGGGGGCAGGGTGGTGGTGGAGGACTTCACCAGGTAACATATAACACTTATTCAATCAAAAAACTGAAACTGAAGGAGACCCTTTTTGAAATGCTTCAAAGATGAACTTCAAGAGAACTTGACTCAAATCGACTAAAACTTCTCCGATAAATTAGTTCTAAGTTAAAATCAAAACTGTTAAAGGCTTCTAAAAAGGATATCATTAGAACTTGCTTCAAATTTTGCACCCAAATAGACGATAAATTTTCCGATAAAATTCTCCAAACTTAAAAGAAAGAAAGAAAAACAACAGAAAATATGCGCTAAAATTTGATCTGAGTTAAATTTTCCTTTCTTCAAGTGTCCATTAGAAAGTGTTAATGGTTAATGGGTCTGGATGGAGTTTACTGCTAGTGTCTGTGTTTTTCTTGTTCAGGATGGCCTTCACTCTGTTTGGACTGGTGGACTATGCCGAGCTAATCGAGGAAACGGTTAGTATACACAACAGATGCTCTGATTGCCAACAAAATTATTGTCTGTATTCATTAAAAAGTGTCATCGAAACACTACATGAAAGTTTCCTTTGATAGATTTTGTTTTTGTCTGTTTTGTTTTTACAACACCTGATAATGACTGCTGGAAAGACAGAACTTTTGAATGTGTAAGCAAAAACCACATTGGTCCCATAATCGCTTTTTAAACAGGTTTTCCACTAGTAAAAAATTGATTGAATCTAACTCATTTAGACAATAAAATTGATAATGTAGGGTTTTAATTTAACAAATAAAAGTAGTTTAGAGGTTCCAAATACGGATTAGTACGTTTTTTTTAAACATTTTTTGTTCTAAAATCATATTACAGCAAAAAACTCGCACTTTGAAATTGTATGATAGACATTTTTTGTGTAGACGTCAATCAGGGGGATGCTTTGTTTGACGCAGAGAATCCAGATATTGGACAATTAAATCTATTTTTTGACGGAAAACAATCAAATTTACACAGTTTCGAGGAATTTTATATAATTCGTTTCAGATTTCCAACAGCTGTATTCCAAATGCATTTTGCTTATAAAATCTGAAACAAATTATATACAATTCCTCGAAACTGTGTAAATTTGATTTTTTTTTAAAACTGGATTTTATTGTCCAATATAGAGATTCTCTGCGTCAAAAAAAATATCCCCCTGATTGATGTCTATACAAAAATCTCTATCATACAATTTCAAACAAGCAATTTCTATCAAAACAATTTCATATGAAACAAGTGCTTAGCAAGCGATTACCATAAAAGGAAATTGTATGATGATTATTTATCAAACGATTATATTTTCTGCCGAAAATATCTTAAACTGCTTTAAAATTCAAATAAAGCAAAATTGTGGCAGTTTTTATTTCAAGAAAGCATTTTTTTTTTAAAAAATTGTTTTGAAAAAAGTGTTTGTACATGAAAATTGTATGCTATACATTTTCTCTTTTTTTCCAATCTTCTCGATTTCAGACTTGTTTCTGTGCTAAAATAAAAGTTTTTAGATCAAACTGTGCTCGCAAAAGTTGATGTTTTTTGTCAATAACGTAGCCCAGACTGAATTTTTCACTGAATATTTTTTTTTGTATTAAGAAAAATAGTTTCCATTGTTTCTACATGCTAAGATAAACTTAAATCTGTAAAAAAGGCCTTTTTTCAACTTCTATAGAGCCAAATCTAGAAAGTTTTTTTTTTGTATATAATTCTGTGTGAAAAATATAATGCACATGGCAAAAATCATCACTAGCGGTTTATCTGCTATCTGCGTGATAACTGCCACATACAACCTGAGTTTTCCTTTGTACAAAACCCTTAGTTAGTGTTTTGGAGAAGACACAAAGTTTTAGAACGATCTTAATCACATAATTTCATAGTTTGGAAAAATTGCTTATCATAAAACTCATAGCCTAAACAATTTGAGTGTACTGTTTTAATACATTCTGTTCAAAAAAAACACTGTAGCCAAAACCGTGTTATTTCACTTCAGATTGACGAGGAAAACTTAATATAAACTTACTCATTATCTTTTTTTTGATCTGGAGTGAAATTATACTTTTTTTGCCATACTCTTTTTTGCAAAAACTTTATGAAAGTAGCATATTCATTTGTTATACTGTAAAAATTGTCTGATAAGCATTTGAAATTGTATGATACGCATTTTTTGTCATTTATGGGCTTTTTGATAACCCAAAAAATGTAAAGCCTGAAGTCCTATTTTAATTATGGGTTTTGTTCACAAAAATTTCAAAACACATTATATCCAAAAAAACATCACTTACTTTTACAGTCAGCTCAAGTCACATGAGGAGAATTGTTTATCGCAAGCCATAAGATTCGGGAGATCTATTGATTAAATTTTCGTAACAGTAGGGTTCTTGCGATGAGAAAAATGGAACCAATAATCATTTTGTCAGATTTCGTCTCTAAGATCAACATTTGTGGCGCATTTTTTTTGTGAAAAAAAGTTTTATAAAAAATGGAAAACTAATCTTAGTTGTTTTTTTTTCTTTGTATATAAGGTATTCATAGTTTCTTTTCATTTCAAAAAGCAGAAAATGTTTAGCAAGTTCTACAACTCAATTTCAAACTTCTGATGAAATTTGATTTCAGATAAAATCAGCAGATAGTTTTTGTTTAATTTGTATACAAAATGAGTAAAACCTGCATAAAGTCTGTGATAAATTAATTATAATCTTTATAACATCTATATATATATATATATATATATATATATATATATATATATATATATATATATATTCTTTAAAAATTGTGCAAAAAGTTAAATGCAACTAATTATAATCGGTTACAATAGATTCGATAAAAAAACAAAATATTTTATTTGGTTTTAAAAAAGCTTTTCAATTCAAAGTTATGTGTTTAACTTGCGATAATCGAATATGAACCTAATTTTGCAAATACGGCGACAGTTTAAACACTGGAAATTTTCATGACTCAATTTGCTTTCATTCAAATCATATTTAATCACTATTATCAAAACTACGTTTTTCGGAAAAGTTTGTTTGTGCGTGAGTATAATCTATTTGACCGTGTTTTTTTGGCATTTTTTTCACAGGAGTCTCTCATTTTTTATTAGGTCAAGTGTTTGTGTAAACTTGTCCGAAACGTTTAAAAACAGGCCGGATACTAGTTTATAGCAGTTTTTTTAAAGTGACGGTATTGTTAAAAAAATTATGCATTCTGACAATGTTTTGTGTACTAACTTCACATGAAAACAGCCCAGCCGTAACTAATTAATGTTTGAAATCTGGTCTGAAACAAAAACGGCTTTCTTTGTGTTAAAAATTTAGAACTGAAAATGGTTTTGAAATTTTGAAACGATGCTTACATACATCTTTAATTGGTTGCTTCAAATTTCAAAGTGAATTTTTTGATGGTTGTATCAGATCTGAAAAATCCTAATTTTCTGTAATTTCTACGACTCAATTTCTTAGTGTTTTTTCTCAAATAGTTTCAGATAGACTAGTAGATACAAAACAATATCTCGCAATTCACTGATGAGATTTGTTTCTTTTAAAACGAATGAAAAATTAGAAACATAAAAATCAAATCTGCTAAAGATTCAATCAAAGTTTCAGATTTGAAACATCGGCTCTCGTTGTAGCTAAAAAAAAATTGAAAATATTTGCGAAATTTTAAAACAAGGCTTACATCCATCATTGATGCATTGTTTCAAATCTAGTTTTTTCATGGTGTATTTCAGATCTGAAAATACCTACTTTTCTGTAATTTCTATGATGCAATTTCTTAGTGTTTTTTTCTCAAATATTTTTAGATAAAGTACCAGATACTAAACCACATCTCACAATTCACTGATGAAATCTATATGTATTTTTTAAATTGAATGAAACATGGGAACCAAGAAAATCAAAACTGCTACAGATTCCTTCCTTATTTTTAAAAAATACAGAAATAGCAGCTTTGCGGCTGTTGGTAAATGTTCCAATTTCTAATAGGTTATTACAGAAAGAAGCGAAAATTGCAATTTCAGAGGGTTGTTCTAAGTTAGGATTTTCTAAATGAGTATTACTAAAAAGTTTTTTCATTATAATTGTTTAATTCTCACAGAAGATTGTTTTCTCTCGAAGTTCATATTTATGAATGGTTATATTTTGTACCAATTATCTCATTATATTTATTTATAATCTTTGTTTGTGCCAAAATATTATCAGGTTTTCTTTATGTTGTAAATGAATATAACTTTTCTGTCGAAAAAGAAATCTCATCACCCGCACAATAAAACAAATAGTCCACAGTCATCAGATATAATTTGGAATGTCTTATCTTTGTCATTGTTCGACCACACATTTTTCCAAATATTTTCTAGTGTTAGTGGGAAAATTCATACTAAATTCTAATATTTGTAAAGAAAAAACTGGTAAATTAGACAAAAATTGTGGAGAAGCTGATCTCCCCTCAAAATTTATGCTACAACCAGTTGATCCTTTTTCAGGCTCCATCAATTCTCAATCTTGTGGGTTTTCAACTCACTCAGTCACTGTTTACTTGAAAAACAACCTTACAAATTAAAGAAGAATAAGTTGAAAATACTGGTGAACCATTTGCGTTCTTTAAATGAATTTGTCTTTTCTTATATATTTTTAAACACTGATTGTCGGAGCATGTTGTGCTATTTACACAGAAACCGGCTATATTTGTTATCGTATCTATAGGTGTGCATTCCCATCTGGGCGGAGACCTGGTCGTTCTACGTGTATGCACTGTACAATGTGATTGCACTGATAGTCCTCATCAACCTCCTCATTGCCATGATGAGTGACACTTACCAGAGGATAGAACAACAGGTACAACTAAACCACATCTCAAAACAAAAGTAGAAGGTCACACTTCATCGGTACGATGAGTGACACTTACCAGAGGATAGAACAACAGGTAAAACTAAACCACAACCCAAAACAAAAGTAGAAGGTCACCCTTCCTCGATACGATGAGTGACACTTACCAGAGGATAGAACAACAGGTACAACTAAACCACATCTCAAAACAAAAGTAGAAGGTCACCCTTCATCGGTACGATGAGTGACACTTAGCAGAAGATAGAACAACAGGTACAACTAAACCACATCTCAAAACAAAAGTAGAAGGTCACACTTCATCGGTACGTTGAGTGACACTTACCAGAGGATAGAACAACAGGTACAACTAAACCACATCCCAAAACAAAAGTAGAAGGTCACCCTTCATCGGTACGATGAGTGACACTTAGCAGAAGATAGAACAACAGGTACAACTAAACCACATCTCAAAACAAAAGTAGAAGGTCACACTTCATCGGTACGATGAGTGACACTTACCAGAGGATAGAACAACAGGTACAACTAAACCACTTCTCAAAACAAAAGTAGAAGGTCACCCTTCATCGGTACGATGAGTGACACTTAGCAGAAGATAGAACAACAGGTACAACTAAACCACATCTCAAAACAAAAGTAGAAGGTCACACTTCATCGGTACGATGAGTGACACTTACCAGAGGATAGAACAACAGGTACAACTAAACCACATCCCAAAACAAAAGTAGAAGGTCACCCTTCATCGGTACGATGAGTGACACTTAGCAGAAGATAGAACAACAGGTACAACTAAACCACATCTCAAAACAAAAGTAGAAGGTCACACTTCATCGGTACGATGAGTGACACTTACCAGAGGATAGAACAACAGGTACAACTAAACCACATCCCAAAACAAAAGTAGAAGGTCACCCTTCCTCGATACGATGAGTGACACTTACCAGAGGATAGAACAACAGGTACAACTAAACCACATCTCAAAACAAAAGTAGAAGGTCACCCTTCATCGGTACGATGAGTGACACTTAGCAGAAGATAGAACAACAGGTACAACTAAACCACATCTCAAAACAAAAGTAGAAGGTCACACTTCATCGGTACGATGAGTGACACTTACCAGAGGATAGAACAACAGGTACAACTAAACCACATCCCAAAACAAAAGTAGAAGGTCACCCTTCATCGGTACGATGAGTGACACTTAGCAGAAGATAGAACAACAGGTACAACTAAACCACATCTCAAAACAAAAGTAGAAGGTCACACTTCATCGGTACGATGAGTGACACTTAGCAGAAGATAGAACAACAGGTACAACTAAACCACATCTCAAAACAAAAGTAGAAGGTCACCCTTCATCGGTACGATGAGTGACACTTAGCAGAAGATAGAACAACAGGTACAACTAAACCACATCTCAAAACAAAAGTAGAAGGTCACACTTCATCGGTACGATGAGTGACACTTACCACAGGATAGAACAACAGGTACAACTAAACCACATCCCAAAACAAAAGTAGAAGGTCACCCTTCCTCGATACGATGAGTGACACTTACCAGAGGATAGAACAACAGGTACAACTAAACCACATCTCAAAACTAAAGTAGAAGGTCACCCTTCCTCGATACGATGAGTGACACTTACCAGAGGATAGAACAACAGGTACAACTGAACCACATCCCAAAACAAAAGTACGATGAGTGACACTTACCAGATGATAGCATAACAGGTACAACTAAACCACATCCCAAAACAAAAGTAGAAGGTCACCCTTCCTCGATACGATGAGTGACACTTACCAGAGGATAGAACAACAGGTACAACTAAACCACATCTCAAAACAAAAGTAGAAGGTCACAATTCATCGGTACGATGAGTGACACTTACCAGAGGATAGAACAACAGGTACAATTAAACCACATCTCGAAACAGAAGTAGAAGGTTACCCTTCATCGATACGATGGGTGACATTCACCAGAGGATAGAACAACAGGTACAACTAAACCACAACTCAAAACAAAAGTAGAAGGTCACACTTCATCCGTACGATGAGTGACACTTACCAGAGGATAGAACAACAGGTACAACTAAACCACATCCCAAAACAAAAGTAGAAGGTCACCATTCCTCGATACGATGAGTGACACTTACCAGAGGATAGAACAACAGGTACAACTAAACCACATCTCAAAACAAAAGTAGAAGGTCACTCTTCATCGGTACGATGAGTGACACTTACCAGAGGATAGAACAACAGGTACAACCAAACCACATCCCAAAACAAAAGTAGAAGGTCACCCTTCCTCGATACGATGAGTGACACTTACCAGAGGATAGAACAACAGGTACAACTAAACCACATCTCAAAACGAAAGTAGAAGGTCACACTTCATCGGTACGATGAGTGACACTTACCAGATGATAGAACAACAGGTACAACCAAACCACATCCCAAAACAAAAGTAGAAGGTCACCCTTCCTCGATACGATGAGTGACACTTACCAGAGGATAGAACAACAGGTACAACTAAACCACATCCCAAAACAAAAGTAGAAGGTCACACTTCATCGGTACGATGAGTGACACTTACCAGAGGATAGAACAACAGGTAAAACTAAACCACATCTCGAAACAGAAGTAGAAGGTTACCCTTCATCGATACGATGGGTGACATTTACCAGAGGATAGAACAACAGGTACAACTAAACCACATCTCGAAACAGAAGTAGAAGGTTACACTTCATCGATACGATGGGTGACACTTACCAGAGGATAGAACAACAGGTACAACTAAACCACATCCCAAAACAAATGTAGAAGGTCACCCTTCCTCGATACGATGAGTGACACTTACCAGAGGATAGAACAACAGGTACAACTAAACCACATCCCAAAACAAAACTAGAAGGTCACACTTCATCGGTAAGATGAGTGACTTACCAGAGGATAGAACAACAGGTAAAACTAAACCACATCTCGAAACAGAAGTAGAAGGTTACCCGTCATCGATACGATGGGTGACATTTACCAGAGGATAGAACAACAGGTACAACTAAACCACATCCCAAAACAAAAGTAGAAGGTTACCCTTCATCGATACAATGGGTGACACTTACCAGAGGATAGAACAACAGGTACAACTAAACCACATCCCAAAACAAATGTAGAAGGTCACCCTTCCTCGATACGATGAGTGACACTTACCAGAGGATAGAACAACAGGTACAACTACACCACATCCCAAAACAAAAGTAGAAGGTCACACTTCATCGGTAAGATGAGTGACACTTACGAGAGGATAGAACAACAGGTAAAACTAAACCACATCTCGAAACAGAAGTAGAAGGTTACCCTTCATCGATACGATGGGTGACATTTACCAGAGGATAGAACAACAGGTACAGCTAAACCACATCTCAAAACAAAAGTAGAAGGTCACACATCATCGGTACGATGAGTGACACTTACCAGATGATAGAACAACAGGTACAACTAAACCATATTCCAAAACAAAAGTAGAAGGTCACCCTTCCTCGATACGATGAGTGACACTTACCAGAGGATAGAACAACAGGTACAACTAAACCACATCCCAAAACAAAAGTAGAAGGTCACACTTCATCGGTACGATGAGTGACACTTACCATAGGATAGAACAACAGGTAAAACTAAACCACATCTCGAAACAGAAGTAGAAGGTTACCCTTCATCGATACGATGGGTGACATTTACCAGAGGATAGAACAACAGGTACAACTAAACCACATCTCAAATCAAAAGTAGAAGGTCACCCTTCCTCGATACGATAAGTGACACTTACAAGAGGATAGAACAACAGGTACAACTAAACCACATCCCAAAACAAAAGTAGAAGGTCACACTTCATCGGTACGATGAGTGACACTTACCAGAGGATAGAACAACAGGTAAAACTAAACCACATCTCGAAACAGAAGTAGAAGGTTACCCTTCATCGATACGATGGTTGACATTTACCAGAGGATAGAACAACAGGTACAACTAAACCACATCTCAAAACAAAAGTAGAAGGTCACACTTCATCGGTACGATGAGTGACACTTACCAGAGGATAGAACAACAGGTAAAACTAAACCACATCTCGAAACAGAAGTAGAAGGTTCCCTTCATCGATACTATGGTTGACATTTACCAGAGGATAGAACAACAGGTACAACTAAACCACATCCCAAAACAAAAGTAGATGGTCACCCTTCCTCGATACGATGAGTGACACTTACCAGAGGATAGAACAACAGATACAACTAAACCATATTCCAAAACAAAAGTAGAAGGTCATCCTTCCTCGATACGATGAGTGACACTTACCAGAGGATAGAACAACAGGTACAACTAAACCACATCCCAAAACAAAAGTAGAAGGTCACACTTCATCGGTACGATGAGTGACACTTACCAGAGGATAGAACAACAGGTAAAACTAAACCACATCTCGAAACAGAAGTAGAAGGTTACCCTTCATCGATACGATGGGTGACACTTACCAGAGGATAGAACAACAGGTACAACTAAACCACATCCCAAAACAAAAGTAGAAGGTCACCCTTCCTCGATACGATGAGTGACACTTACCAGAGGATAGAACAACAGGTACAACTAAACCACATCCCAAAGCAAAAGTAGAAGGTCACCCTTCCTCGATACGATGAGTGACACTTACCAGAGGATAGAACAACAGGTACAACTAAACCACATCCCAAAACAAAAGTAGAAGGTCACAATTCATCGGTACGATGAGTGACACTTACCAGAGGATAGAACAACAGGTAAAACTAAACCACATCTCGAAACAGAAGTAGAAGGTTACCCTTCATCGATACGATGGGTGACATTTACCAGAGGATAGAACAACATTACAACTAAACCATATTCCAAAACAAAAGTAGAAGGTCATCCTTCCTCGATACGATAAGTGACACTTACCAGAGGATAGAACAACAGGTACAACTAAACCACATCCCAAAACAAAAGTAGAAGGTCACACTTCATCGGTACGATGAGTGACACTTACCAGAGGATAGAACAACAGGTAAAACTAAACCACATCTCGAAACAGAAGTAGAAGGTTACCCTTCATCGATACGATGGGTGACATTTACCAGAGGATAGAACAACAGGTACAACTAAACCACATCTCAAAGCAAAAGTAGAAGGTCACCCTTCCTCGATACGATGAGTGACACTTACAAGAGGATAGAACAACAGGTACAACTAAACCACATCCCAAAACAAAAGTAGAAGGTCACACTTCATCGGTACGATGAGTGACACTTACCAGAGGATAGAACAACAGGTAAAACTAAACCACATCTCGAAACAGAAGTAGAAGGTTACCCTTTATCGATACGATGGTTGACATTTACCAGAGGATAGAACAACAGGTACAACTAAACCACATCTCAAAACAAAAGTAGAAGGTCACACTTCATCGGTACGATGAGTGACACTTACCAGATGATAGAACAACAGGTACAACTAACCACATCCCAAAACAAAAGTAGAAGGTCACCCTTCCTCGATACGATGAGTGACACTTACCAGAGGATAGAACAACAGGTACAACTAAACCACATCCCAAAACAAAAGTAGAAGGTCACCATTCCTCGATACGATGAGTGACACTTACCAGAGGATAGAACAACAGGTACAATTAAACCACATCCCAAAGCAAAAGTAGAAGGTCACCCTTCCTCGATACGATGAGTGACACTTACCAGAGGATAGAACAACAGGTACAACTAAACCACATCCCAAAACAAAAGCAGAAGGTCACACTTCATCGGTACGATGAGTGACACTTACCAGAGGATAGAACAACAGGTAAAACTAAACCACATCTCGAAACAGAAGTAGAAGGTTACCCTTCATCGATACGATGGGTGACATTTACCAGAGGATAGAACAACAGGTACAACTAAACCACATCTCAAAACAAAAGTAGAAGGTCACACTTCCTCGATACGATAAGTGACACTTACCAGAGGATAGAACAACAGGTACAACTAAACCACATCCCAAAACAAAAGTAGAAGGTCACACTTCATCGGTACGATGAGTGACACTTACCAGAGGATAGAACAACAGGTAAAACTAAACCACATCTCGAAACAGAAGTAGAAGGTTACCCTTCATCGATACGATGGGTGACATTTACCAGAAGATAGAACAACAGGTGAAACTAAACCACATCTCAAAACAAAAGTAGAAGGTCACACTTCATCGGTACGATGAGTGACCTTTACCAGAGGATAGAACAACAGGTACAACTAAACCACATCTCAAAACAAAAGTAGAAGGTCACACTTCATCGGTACGATGAGTGACATTTACCAGAGGATAGAACAATAGGTAAAACTAAACCACATCTCAAAACAAAAGTAGAAGGTCACCCTTCATCGGTACGATGAGTGACACCTGTCAAAGAATAGAATAACAGGTACAAGCAATCCATTTCCCAAAACAAGGTTATTCATAGGTATGATGAGTGACATCTGCAAGACCATAGAACAATTTGTATAACCAAAATCACAGCCCAAATCATTGCTTAATTACCAGTGCAAAATGAATAAGACTAAAAAACATTAAGACGAAAAATGATCGTTGCAACATTTAAAATGATTTGTTCGAATTACGCTGCTTAGGTTTCTCAGAAAAACAATTGGAAAGCTGAGTGTAGCTTTGTCTGAAAGTCTCGTCAAAAATGACTGTCATCAGCAGCAGATTCATGAGAAGGGTGGGAGCGGACGTACTTTTAATCCTCCGACGACACAAACTTTCTGGGCCGTAGGCGAAGTTTTGAAAAAAAAAGGCCAAAAAAGGCTTTTTGGCACTTTTTTTGGAAAATGTTGACCAAAAAATCGCGTTTTTTTGTCGCGCCCTTCCCCCTAAAATTAAGTATATATTGGCGGTCCTTCACAAAAAAATTAGGGTCCGTCAGCCAAAAATGGAGATCTGAAACTAGTAGAAAGGGGGGACCATTTGGGCCGGCAGGGGGTCAAATGCCTGAAAAAGAATCGTCAGCAGATCGCCCTCCAAATCCGTTGGTGGCCTGAATGAGGATTATTAAGTCGAAATAATATTACGAGTCAATTAGTATCATATTTGAAAAAATTAAGATTTCACTTCTTAGCATACTTTCAACATTCAATTTGTTTCTCTTTGAGAACCTAAAATGCTGTCTTAGTTGTTTTGCAACAGCGGTTTAGACATTAAAAGTAATCGGACCCACTAGGAAATATCTACCCATGACAAACTTTTTGGATAAACCGCTTGCATAGTAGGGCTGAAGACCAGCTACAGGTTTTTTCGAAGCCTTATACTTTTAATTGAATCTCTTGTATAGAGTGACATTGAGTGGAAGTTTGGGCGGGCGATTCTGATCCGGACGATGAGTGGGAAGAGTCCAGCTGCACCCCCCGTGAATGTACTGGTGGCCATATTCATGCTGATCTATGGACTCATCAAACACAGAGGTATGGACAGGGTTGATGTTACTTACAGTCATTTTCACTCATAATGGTCTCTGGCGGTTTTCAAACGTCTGTGACACTCTTCTTTATTTTGTTTTTTTTTCTTCTTTTTTTAAAAGCTAATGGTTGCCTTGTTTCGCTTGTGAAGTTTCGTCTCCTAGCCATATAAGAAGCAACTATGCTCGGCCCGATCATATTGGACTGAAAAAATGTCGTCACCACAACTCGCATTTGATGGAAAGTGACTCTTTGCATAATTTGTAATTTAATTTGAAATTGGAATTGGCAAAGCAGTGGCAGGAGTGCTCTTTTCCTGTGTGCTCACTTTGACACGAGTGAACCAGTTGCTCCCAGTGGTCTTGGTTGTTATTTGTTACGCAATTCAAGAGATATAATATTGGAAAGGACATAGCTGTTTTTCCAAAGATAGTGTTTTTTTTCTTCAATCGAAAGGTTCTATGAAACGATTCAGCACTAAATGTTTTTTTAATTGACTAGTTGCAGCGGATCTTCAAGTTATAAACCAGTAAAGTGTTGGTTGTGATAAGAGAGTACCCGCATTGGAGTTTCATGGATCATAATCGATTATATTGTCATTTTATAGTCAGTATCCATAAAATTACAAATGCAATCAATTGAAATCCATTAAAAATGGATTAAAATTGTCATATTTTGTTTTTCAAATTAATCCATTATAATAGATTATTATCGATTATAATCCATTAAAATTGGATTGTAATCCTAGTATTTTATATTTCATTTTAATCCATTATAATCGATTATAATCCATTAAAAATGGATTACAATCATAATATTTTTTTATCAATATAATCCATTATAAAAAATTATAATCGATTATCAAGTTTTTTTGAGAAAAATATATAAATTTAGCAACCTTTTTTCGAAGTTCTCTCAATTCCTGTTTCGTGCAGTTGCAACGTGTTACGTTTCTAAAGTTTTTAGTTTTCACGCAAATTTTTATTTACTTAAGTTTTCTCAACGTTTTCTATACTTTGCTTATTCCATCACCTCTTTCAATAACCCCCTTCCCCAGTTTACCCCTCGTCAGTTTTCAGTTTACCAACGCCCCTCCCCCATCCAATTTAGCCATTCTCATTTTACCCCCCCCCCCCCCCCCCCCTCGTTTATTGAACGTGGGTGGGGTAAAAACTGGAGGTGTGGGCGAGGAAGAGGGTTAAACAAAAAAAATGGATGAAGGAGAGGGTTAAGCTGGAGAGTGTGGGTAAATAGGTGTTGTTTACACTGAGTAACCCCCTCTCCCGTCCCCTTTTAACAGAAATAAAATGGGGGCGAACTGTAACTTGGGGTTGGGGTTGGAGTTAAATTTTAGTAAACATGGAGGTGGGCATAGGAATAATTGTAGGGGAGTGGTGTCAATGCGGATGTGAGGGGGAGGGGACAAATTTGGTTGAGAGAAAAGTGAGGGGGTGTTTAACTTGCGTAAGTTAAGGTTGCGAATAGGCCGCAAGTGAAAGTTGTATGCTTTACAAAAAATTTCGCAAAAAATGTCAAGATTATTTTCCGTTATAACTAATTATAATGGTTTTTAAATGAATTTTAACCCATTATAATGGATTTTAATGGATTGTGTTTGTAGGAGAATATTCGATTATATTGACAATAAAACCAATTTCATGTTCTAAACTTTCAACAATAATAGTTTATTTTGACAACAATTTAGGCCACAGTTTTCCATTATATTCGATGATTATCCATGAAACTCCAGTGCGGGTAGTTTTGAAGTTTAATTCCCGACCTGAGCGTTCATTCATCTTAAATCTAATATTCTGTCATTCTAAAATCAGATTTCATGAGGCTTCAAAAGAGTCGATCATAACCCATTGAAAATGGATTTAATCCTAATATTATTTGTATCATTTCAATCGATTATAACCGATCATAAACCATTGAAAATTGATTATAAACCTTATATTAATGGCATCAATTCAATCCATTATCATCAATCATAATCCATTGAAATTGATTTATAATTCTAATATTATTTATATCATTTCAATCCATTTTAACCGATCATTATCATAATGCTAGGGTTAATGGTAAACTTTGGCAAACGTGGGGATGGGATCGGTTGAACTTTAATGTATATAAACCTGTTTTGCTTTTTATTATTGTGAAAGACGTGGCATGAAAATTCTGCAAAAATCAATGAATTTAAATTTAAAAAAATATGTTATTTTAAATCAAATGGTGAATAATGAAATTTTATTTCAAAAATAATCCGTTATAATGATTTAACAAAAACTTTCGATTTGAGTGCCAAAATTGATAGATTTCAATCAATTGATATGGATTATAATGGAATATTTTCTTCAAAAGCATTTTTCTTCAGCAATATATTATGGATAAGAATGGATTATAATGGGTGTGTTTTGTCTCGGAAATCCATTATAATCAATTGAAATCCATGGTCACTCTATACGGGTTATTACTGACCGAGTTATCTGCCCATGGAGGTTCAGTCAAAGCCAGGGCAGAACCTTGCTGCGATTGCCCTGGAACCTCGAGATCAGTCTAAGAAGCCAGCGCTAAGGTTTTCAAGGCTGATTAGATTGGACTGCCAGCTTTATTTTAGCATAACTAACTACTACCAAAGGCTTAAAACCTGTTTTAGGTACCTAAAAACATTAACCTCGAGCTCTAGCAGCAGCTAATAAAAGTGAGAGATAATTATATTCATAGGCATTACCCTTAATTTCGGTGCTAGCCAATAGGGAAAGTTGGCAATGGAGAATCTGAATACACAAACTTGTACAGTAAAAACCTGAAAAATAATTTCAGAAAACGTCTAACAACAAAAAAAAACCACTAATTTAATTTGCTTTTTGACACAATTTTTCAGGCAATAATTTGATTTTTTGATATTCGTGACAAATATCAAAAAATCTTATTAACGCAGAGACACGCATTAGCGCTTTTATTAATAGCAATGACCATATAATGAAAAAAGCAAAAAATTTAAAACAATAACTTGCACTAAGAAACTGAAATCAAAAAAGTCAGGAACACATCTATAAACACAAGAAACTTAATTGTACACAAACAAAAAATTCAAAAAAATTGTAACAAAAATTGTAAACAAAAAAAGTGAAGAATTTTTCTCAGCCAGTGTTACAAGACTCCTCTCTCTTTCTCTCTCTTCTTACAATGTGACCTTCTCGGATTTAATGCTTTCCCAAACCACAGTTGTAAAAGCAGATATTCTGTTATCCAAGTTACACTGTGAGGTGATGTGCTACCTCTGCGCCGCTTAGTCATACAACCTCCTCCTCCTTTCATAGTACATAATGATAGTGCAACTCATAGTTCATGTCAAGTACATAGTGGTCAAGTCAATGATTAAGGCCCTGAATATTGGCCACTTAACCATGATCAGTACAATTGCAGCACATTTTCATGGTTTACATCAGAATCAGGGATGACTATCCATGCGAGGTCATTCGGGCGCTAGTACAAGCTCGTGACTCCCATAGTACTGTGTGCTAGGTGCTTGACGCACTGATTGCTACTTCGTCTAATTCTGCTCTTAGGGTTTCAAATATGATGATATGTGCCCCTTTTTTACCATACAGTCCTGCCACCGTCCTAAGTAACTGTCGACATTATTGAGATAAAATTGGCATGCTCATTTTTAAAACTTATCGTTGTTTTGGTTTAATTCTTTGCATCACTGTTTCTTCTAAGACCCTATCAGTGTTTTGTTAAGACTTTCAGTGTTTTTCTCAGATTCTTCATTTTGCTGTTGTCATTTTCCTTGCTAAACTCCGTTTGTCAGTTTCTGCGCTACATGCAAATTTTTGAAAAAAAAACAGACCAGAAAAGGCGTTTTTAGTCACTTTTTGGAAAATGCTGCCCCTCAAAATTAGTCATATTGGCGACAAAGGCGCCTTTAGAAAAAATTTAGGGTAAGTCAGTCAAAAATGGATCTCAAAATAATACAAAGGGGACCCCCAAAATCCGCTGGTGCTCTGAATCATACTTAAAAAGTTCTCTGAGTGTTTCAAAAGGTTCAATGAAAAAGCGAGTCTATTTCTTAAACCGGTTTTGACATTTTGATCTGACGCTAAGGCAAATAATCTTTGAAGCGGGATTTCTTCCTCTATACAACTGGACTTACAAGAATATTTTTTCTCAGACTGAAAATTTTTCGTCTCAGGCGGAGGCTTATGGTTTTACGGTTGGACTATTTTGACCCAGTTATTGTAGTTTTAGAACAAATTATCGCGCCCAAACTGAGTTTTTTTCAGAGTTGGCGTCCCTTTTTTCAGAGTTGGCGTACTTTCAGGCTTTCAGAGTTGAGCATTCAATATTTGAAAAGAAAAAAACGAAAAAATGTTTAAATAAGCTATTAGTTTTCTAGTTACGCCATAATTCTTTTTCTGCTGATAGTGACTTGGATTCTGATTAAATATTATTCAGCGAACACTAACGTCTACTGATTCTGATTGAATGAAAATTTTCCATCATTCGGTACCTCCAAGTTGAAAATTGAAAAAGCCACTATCTTAAGACTTCTGGTTTGGAGCTCACAAAAAATACCTGCCGATCAAATTCATAATTGGAGTCTATTGTAAAAAAATTATCATGATATTAAAGTAGAAAAAAATATACGATAAGCATTTTTATTCGTTTTTATGGTTTTTATTCGTTTTTTTTTTCAAAAACGATTTTAATTCAGGTCGAAATTTGTTTACATGAAATTTGTGACAGCTTTTGTGATATGAGAGCAACTTAAGTTTCAAAAAAAAAATTCCGAACAAAAAAAGTTCATCATTCAATTTAATTTTCTAGTAATTTGCCAAAAAATTTAGATTTGATACTTTCAGTATATAATTTGGGATGAAAACTCGCATACAATTCAGGGGTTTTCGAATACACTGCAAATGTGGGATGATGAAACCTTTGGTGACTGTAACTTTGAGTAAACCATAATTTAGGTCACTTGTGTGCGTTTACTGGTTTATGGAAAAATGTCACTTGTGTTCATTTTTTGGTTTAGCGAAAAACATTGGTCACTAATCATAGACCTTTCCTACACTTTTCTAAACTAATGGAATTGCATTAAAAGTGTGTGATTATCCTTTTTCCATATTAGAATACTATACACTATACTATTATATTACTATATTACCCGCTTTGGAGTTCCATGGATATTAATCGATCATAATGTCATTTCATAGTCAGTATCTTTAAATTTAAAAAAAACGAAAGATTAAAATTCATCAAAAATGGATTATAATGATAGTTCTTTTATATCATTATAATCCATTATAATCTATTATAATCAATTACAATCCATTAAAATCGGATCATAATGTTAACTTTTTTCAATTTTTATAAACCATTCTAATAGATAAAAATCGATCATAACATTTTTTTTTGAGAAAAACTTCTCAATTTTGCAGTTTGTTTTCAAAGTTATCTCTTTTCCTGTGTCGTGCAGTTGCTACGTATTAGGTTTCATCGATTTTTACATTTCACATAAGATCTTATTTGCTTAAGTTTTCTCTACTTTTTCTATACTACGTAAACTCCATCACCTCTTTACATCTTTTAACAACCCCTTTTCCCTGTTTACCCCCCCCCCCCCAAAAAAAAATTTAGCTCTTGTCAGTTTACTCCCCGCCCCCATTCAGTTTACCCCTCCTCAATTTACCCCCTCCCCCAATATCTTAGTTCAACCCCTGCCTTTATTTACTGAACGTGGGCCGGGTAAAAAGGGGGGATAGGTGGAACAAAAAACTTGCGTGAGATGGTTAAAATGGGGAATGGGGGTAATGGGGTGCACTGGGGGAGGTGGTAACCTGTAACTGAGGAGGGGGGTTGGTATTGTGGGGGGGGGGGGGGGGTAAAATGTAGTAAGCATGGGGATGGGCGTAAGGATAAACGTAGGGGAGTACTTTAAACGCCTGTGTGAGGGGGAGGAGGGGGCAAATGCGGATGGGAGCAAGGTGAGAGGGGGGGGGGGGGGGGTGGCGGGGTTAGGGGTTAATTTGAGTAGGTTTACTTTGCGAGTAACGTGAGGGGGGAGGTTTATTTGAGTAGGTTTAGATGATTTTGCAAAAAAAAATTGTAGAGATTATAATCCATTATAATCAATTATAACGGATTTTAAATGGATTGTGTTTTCACGAAAATAATCGATTATAATGACAATAAAATCGATTTCGTGGTCTAAATTTGCTACAATAGGGGAACTTTTTGGTGAACATTACGAGGCCAAAACTGTGCGTTTTGTGCATTGTAAGCGGATTCGGGAACAGGCCAGCATCAGATTTGTTGCGGAATCCATAACATTGTTACTTTTCTTTGATCTTCTTTGCTGTTTTGGAACCCACAAACAAATAGCTAAAACACTTTTATGCTAAAAATTGCTCCAAAAACAGGCAAATTTGCGGAATCCGCAACAAATTTTGTGGAATCCGCAACAAAGTTTGCGGAATCCGGAACAGTTTGTGAAATCCACAAACAAATAATAATATATGTGTTTAGTAAAATTAAGCTGTCCTGGAATCCGCAAATTGTAAGTAGAATCCGAAAATTGTAAGAGGATTCCACAAATTGTAAGCGGAATCCGCAAATTGTAAGCGGAATGCGCATAAATTTGCGGAATCCACTTACATTTGCGGAATCCGCTTACACTTGCGGAATGCAGAACTACTAGCTATATTCTCCTGTTGCGGAATGCGCGACAAAACAAATGTTCCGACAAAATTTACGTTACAGGTATTTGTACACATAAATTTTCTAGGTGGAATCCACTTACATTTTGGAGCATGTTTAAAAGTTAGTCTCTGGCATCCAGGAACATACAGACACAAAGTTTTGTGCCTATCCAGAGCACACTTTGGCCTCGTAAGGAAAATTTTCCATTATTATTGATTGTTATTCATGAAACTCCGGTGCGGGAAACCAATCAGACTCGACAAAGGGTAAACTTACAAAATGATTAATAATATATTTTTTAAGTTTACCTTCTCGTCTTAGAGTTTGTCTAATTACTGACGAGTACGAATACCTGTTATCTACATACAGACAGCACTCTACAGTTTGCATAATGCGCACTTCTTTGAACTTCATCTAGTTTCGTGTGGGGCAAATTGCCAAACCACTGGATGGAAGGAACAGTAAGTGGTCTCTCACGTCTTCAGTGCTTTTTGTTTTCTCTAGGCAAGATGTGTTCTGTGCGGGAACTGATGCGGGACGACAGTGCGGGGGCAAGGAAGGGGGAGGAGAGTGGGTGGGATAAGGCAGAGATGGGACAGGGGGGTGACACGGCGACTGTGGTCACGGCTGGCAGTGGGACTGGGGGAGGGGCTGGGGCGCTGGACCAGGAGGTGTTGTCCAACCACACCAATGGCTCTATCAAATCAAGAGGTAGTGAATGCAGCTACACATACGCTCTTCTTCAGCATTCTGAGGGTGGCTTTTTCAGCTGAAGAAATATTAGTCAGAAAAAAACATCACTTGGATATGAGACATTTTCAAAGAAAAAGAATAATAAGACCGGCGTTTATGTTTTTCTGTCCAAATATTTAAAAATACGATTGTTTCTAACAGGTAAATTTTTTCAGAAACTCTTTTTTGCGCATGTTTTTTTATGTTTTGTAGATAAATCAGTCATATCAAAATTTCATCAAGTTGGTAGTTAAAATCAAAAGCGCGTTCTTCGTTGGTCTATAGCAACTAGCTTTGAGCAGAATTAGAAACTCAATCAAAATTTTCTTGGCATTCAGTGTATGAGCAAAACTTGCATGTGTTTTTTGTCACACCTGAATCTTGCAGTTAATTGATATTTTGAGTTCGAAATTACATAGAAGTGAAAAATATAAAATTTGCCCCAATACGACCAATCCAATTGGCCTGATTAGTGATGCAGGCTATAAATTGGGTGTTATATGCACAAGCATATACGCAACATAATCCCAATCTGAATTTTTGATCGTACCTTGCTTTATTAGCCTGGGCAAATTATTGTTCCGACCCTTGAAAATGGGAAGAACTTTGTATTCAGATGTGTTTTAGTTTTTCTTTTCGTTCCACGCAAAATTGAGTACCACAAAATTCATCGGACTGGGTCGAGCGTCAAATGATATATCAAAATAAAGCACTTTCATCCGAGATTCGAACAGCATTTAAAAAATTCCAAAGTAACACAGTTTTCCATTTGTATATTCTACTATGACTGTCGAATAGGCTTAAGCCTTTTATCACACCGCGCAGAAAAAGCGACTCGACAGAAAAAGTCGTGTTTCCTTCCTTCTAGTTCACTTTATTTCAATGATTTTGTTAGTATAAATTAAATAACAATCGACTCTGATTACTTTTTTTTCAATAAAACCAAGTGCCCTCTTTTTTATAAACGGATGCCGCCGAATCTATGCAAAACAAGCCCAAAAGTGGGTTGAGCTCAACTTGAAAATTAGCGATAAAAAATGAAAAAAATAACAACGACCACCATCGATGAATTTTCGATGTTCATTGCCACAATAGCAAATTTTATCGATATATTACAGCCAATTTGGCTCATTACCAGCAATGAAACAGCAATAAAAACCTATCAAAATGAGAAAAAAGCTTGCACTTACAGGAGTTCGATTGCACCTTCAGTTTTGTAGCCTTGTAAGCTACCTCTGCGCTATCAATCCATTGATTAAGTCACATTAAAGGGCTTATCAACTAAAATTATCATATGAAAGCTACTAGAATGAGTTTAAGTTTCTTAAATTTTTAGCGATGATTTTCTATGGAATCATTACTGAAATAGCTCTAAAACATCGCAGGTTTAGCTATGCAAAACCTCTGAGTTATAAATGAGTCAGCGCTGGAAAAGAGCGATCACTGGGATACTACAGAAAAAGCGATAATTAACGGTGGGATTTCAGCCCGGGGAGTCTTTATTCAAATTCAATCCAAACAAAAATGTTTTTGAAGTATTAGGTAACAACCCTTTTTTGAAGTATTGGACTGACCAAAAAGGCTTATCTTATATTTTTCATACAGTTTTTAGCCTGTTTGAAAAAGTTATTGAGAGAAACGTAAAAAAATCCAAATTTTGTGTACCCAGGACTACTTTTTGCAGACAAAAATTAAAATTTGCAAAGTTTTTTTTGGAAAGTTTTTGTTTGGGTACAAAAATTGACTTGCTGTTGAAAAAAAATTTCGCTTGGTATGAAAAAAATGTTAGTCTTACAACTCTCATATAGGGAACATAGTTTTTTATCATCACCAGGCTGTTTTATTTGGTTCAAATAGCCACAGAAACGCTCTGACCATTGTTTTTATTATTCTGACCATTCAAGATGGTCGCGGAAAAAACGTTCGAATCTGGAGTGGTGTTTCATGTAAGTTTGTGTATTAGAGACAAGCTTAATTCAGAGTGATAAGTCATTACAAGTCTTGTGTATTCGAAGATTTTTCAGTTTCGATTACCATTTTGCACAATTTTTAATATCCAATTTAAACACTAAGTTATTCGTGCTAAGTTGTTTACGCTATCCTTCAGTCTAACCAGAAACACAACTTTGCAAAGTTAAATGTACTCGGAACTTTCTGTGCCTTTTTGCATTCTTTCGAATTCTGTGTTTTGCAGTGTTTAACGGCAAACATCTTTAATCGGACCAAACACAAGGTTTCTTGAATCATTCTATACTTATTTCACAGAAGGACACCTACGGTCTCGTACATTGTTAGTTTACCACACTTTTCTGATCTAAGCAAATTATCTGGCTTTATTGTTCGTTAGAGAGTCCGATTTCTGAATCCTTTATACTTTGGAATACGAATGACAGCGAAATTACAGGAGGTGAAACTTAACTGAGTTTTTTAGTTCAGAAATAAGGTGGGATTGTATCTTGGGTTTGATTTCAGTTTCCTTACTTGGATTGATGTTGCTCCTTCTTTTCAGCTGTGGGGGCTGGGGGGAGTGTGGGGCGTGGCACTATGGGCAAGAAGAAACACAGGGGCAAGAGGAGTAGTGACGACGAACACGTTAGTTGACCTTTTCTTGACCTTGTTGAGTTCCTTTGCTACAACTAAAATGTTCTACTGTTACAGCCATTTCTACTTAATCACAATTCATAAAAAGAATTAAAAAGTAAAAATTGGATTTATCTCAAAGTTGAAACAATAAAAAGTGAGAGAGACATTTTCTCCTCGGTAGAGAAAGAATATGTCAAGGTGAAAAGGAAAACGTGTTTAAGAAATTAAATAAATATGATTTATATGAAATGGCCAATTAAAACATTCGTTTTAACAGGACGAATTCGGTTTACTACCTATAACTACCTATAAGATAACTGCTCGTTTTGTGCCCAACAATTCAAAAAAGAAAAGTAAAAAGAAAAACTTACCAACAAAAAGTCTTACTAAAATAGCACTGAATGTATGTGTAAACTGATATGACAAAGCAGTTAAGCAACTAGAATTGTAAGGGTTGAAATTGAAATAGTAATTTCCAATAAGAGTATTTAGAGCTGAATCACGTATTGCGTAAGGTTGTTAGAAAAAATGATAGGATATGTGCTAAGCCATCAAATTCAAAGTTATTAAACCAGTAAGCCATCGCAATGTCGTTCGAACCGAGTCTTCGGTTGTGGGATCCAAAACGAAGGGATCTGACTATAAAATAGAGGCGACAGCTTAAATCTGCATTTGCGCAAAGTTGTGTTTTTACCAGTGGTGACAATCCTATCAGTGTTGGCTTTTGCATCGTCTGATGAGTCGTCAGTTTAGTAAGCAGAAAAGTTCATTGTTGTCCCTGTTGCATGGATGGTCTGACTTCAGTTGATATGGCAGAACGACTAATGTGATATCTTGAGCTTAATTTGTGGATGTGGAAGCTTCCTCTTTGGTGAAATTATACTGATTAGGCAGTTTTCCGGATAAGAGTTGCCCTTGCTACCAATGCAGCGTCCTCTTTTGATCTCAGATTGGTTATTGTCTAGGAAGTCCGAATGGTTACTGGGTTTGTCGTTAGCAGGCAAATTAGAGTTGATTCATCACAAGCCACATAACTCGAGGTTGGAGTGGTCTTTTTTTGCGCGGGCTGGTTGCATTCTAGATGATTTTCCAGCAAAATCGTTTTTTTTTTGGGCGTTGTTGTTCGAGGTTGCCAGTTCGATTTCTTTTCGAGTTTATGTACCAGGTCTTTTTGCTTCTTTTGCCGTCGTATTTCCATCGCAGTAATCCGTTTGGCACCTACTTCAATGTTTGATTTAGAAAAATTGAAGATGGAATGTTTTTTTAACGTGCTAGTTTGAGTTGACTCAGATATAGATAAAGCAATATCAGGTTTTCTGATGATTGATCCGTTGGATAGTTCGAACGTAGTTTTACTTGAAATTACAATTCTCTCATTCAGTTTCTAGTAGAACCATTTCCTGTTAAGACACTCTTCTGTTTTCCGGGAGAAGCAGGGCAATGAGCTTCACGTTAAAAAAGCGCTAAAATCCAATTGTTTCCGTGGTAAATTCACACTATCACGGCATCTCATGGCCAATTTCTTGTGTCAATTTCTTGTGGCTAATATGAATACAGGTAAAAGATGGGTTGACTACATTTTCAATAATTAACATATTTACACTGATGACGTTTTAAAAATATCCGTAAGAGAATTAAGTAAACTACGACTGAGAATTTAGAAAAAGATGAATATTGTGTTAGAAAATACTCCAAACCGAACTCTTGAAATTGGATCTGTGAACCCAGTACCTTTTCCTGCCAGGCGTTTCATCGTTAATTTAAAAGGTAAAGTTTCGTCAACCCAGCTTGTTCATCTGCTTTGATATCTTTTATTTCCATAATTGGTAGAAATTGCTGAAAGTGATGCTTTATATTAGGTATCAATTTTGAATTCAGAGCTTTATTGGGAGTTGCAAAAAGTTCGGACAGACAGAATTATTTAAAAAAGCAACTGTCTTAGACATCAGCGGAAATTAAAACTGAAACAAACATAGCGTCGAAAGTTCATAAAGCAGAGTATCGCTCAAAACTTATAACCATGGCGGGCAATTGCATCTGAAGCGGCGAATAATAAACCTTGAAACAGGAAAAATGTTGCTCATGGTGGCTAATGTTTTTCTGCAATTAGTTTCCAATTTTTGAATGATTTGATCATATTCTTATTTCCGTTTTTTTTTGGGGCGGCCTAATCTTTTTTTTTGTTGAAAATAACTCTAGATTACGATTTTTAACTAAAGTTGATTTATTTTATGATAAATCTGGATGTTCATCGCAGAATTTAAAAATTAGGCTAGTATAATCATCGGATCATCGACGATCTTGTATTTCAAATTTGGTCTGACGAAAAGTTCAAAGTTGTCGGGCTCCAGAATTTGCATGAAAAAAAAGCGTCGAAAAGGACAGATTGATCATTTTAATTATTTCTGTCTGTCCGAACTTTTTGCTACTAATTATAAATATAGAGCAAGCTCGTGCGGATTCAGAGCTTTTGAGGCAAATGAAATATATTGCAGTCATTTTTAAAAATTGAACAAGATTTTAGCCGCCGATTCCGATACGCGATGTGTTTGTTTTAATTCTATTTTTGAGTTCGACGTCATAATGAATGTTTTTCCGTTAGAGTTATGATTTGTCGTTTAACCTTTCTAAAGACTTCAATGTGAATGTCTTTTCTGTGGAAAAAGCGTTCTATTGTTAGATAAAGGGCGCGATGGGATTCACAAATTGACTAAATATGGTACATTTTTATCATATTGATTTTTTGTGCCGATGAGTTTTTCAAGTTTTTTTTCAATATGATGTTTTTTTCAGACTTTTGATGAAATACCAGAGTTTATCAATTTAAATCGAACCCGCTCATTTTTTTGGGACCTTGAACACACATTGGGACCATTCTACGGCAAGGTTATAACTGTCTAAAACTGATGAAATTTTGTAGACTGTCGTTTTGTGTTCTACAATTTCTTTGGATGCAATTAAAATTTCTGAAACCATAATTCTTTGAAAATGGCTGAGACCAGGATGCTTTGAAAACCATTTGGCATATCTCCATATTCCTAAAACGCGGCTAGAAATTGATAAGTCCTGACTTTATCACCGCTCAGTGTTCTAAAGATGCATTGGTTACTTGTGAAACCGTCGAGTCAAAAATGACTTTATGTATTTTTAAGATTGAAGGTTGTGAACCAACCTTTCTCAACGGAATCATTTGAGGTTGGTGATGCGACACTATCTACCAGATTATGAGTTGACCTAATTGTTTTCGTTTATGCTTTTTTCTTCATTTTTGAAGTTTGAATCCAGTGCTAAATTGATGGAAATATCCTTTTTTCAAGTAAAAATTAATCGGGCTGCTAAGTTTGTCATTATTGCTTTTTGATTTGTTCTTCTGCTTTAATTCGGTGTAAATTTGTTCCATCTGAATCCAGCAAACGGAGAGGAACGCATCTATCTTAACTTCTACGTGACTCAATGGTTCGTAAAATTTGGTAATTTTTTCTAAAAAAAATTTATGTTTCCAATCTGTTGGAATAATTTTTAAAATATGTTGACTACTAAATTGCTTTCTTTGTTTTTTTTTGGCCCAGAATTTTTGTTTTAGAATTACTGGTATTTTTGGTCTGGAAATTTTTTCGTGAGTTTGCGTTGACAGTTTGAGTTTCGTGAGTTTCCGTTGGCGGAGAAGGGGGTAGTGTTTCCGTTGACAGTGTTCGTTCAGACGCCAAATTTTTTCATTTTATAGATGAAAGTGACCGTGATCATTTCGTCTGCTCCCGCTGAGATATCGCACATTTTCGACGTTTCGGCTAAAACTGTGTCTCGCGTTCTATTCGCTTAGCAATTTAAGCCTCTCGAAAGTAACATTAGTCTCCTCATATACGCTGTTGCTAATCATTCCAGGAACTGTTTGAATCAAACCCGGAGGATTTTCATCTTTATGCATTTTTGCCCGGTAAAACGTCCACCTTTGTTTTCCAATGCGAGGTATAACATTGACAGCACTTTTTGTCTGCTTCGTCCAATCGTATTCAGTTAAAACGTTTTGCAGAGGTATTTAGGTTTTCCTCTCTCGTTTGATTCGTAACGGTTTGATTGCATCATGACAAAATGTTCTTTTGGTACAGCTAATTCTACTGATCCACAATTGATTAATGTATGAAGAGTAGAGAGTGAGTTAATCTCAAAGTTAGAATGAGTGTGTCAAATTCAATCAAGAAGACCTGATAAAGTAATTTAAGAAAGATGATTTTATGTAAAATAAAAAATTATAACTGCAGACAAAATTAGGCAATAATCAACTAATTGGCAGTTCTTGTCATGGCTATAGCTCTATAAGCTGTATGTTGCAAATAATTTTAAGATGATCGTTTTCGAAAAATTTCCCTTCTAAAAATGACTTGATACGTTATGAGCCCTCCATAATTCACAAGCACCTAGGGGTCCAAAATGAAACATGTTTTTGCAAAAATGAATTAGTGCCATTGTTGACCATTTTAATGCTTTCGGGCGGGACCAGCGCCAACTGATGAAAAAAGTGCCCCTACTGAAACTGAGGATTTTAGGTCGAACATTACTAAATCTATCTAATAAAAATGTGTGACTTCGTAATTAAAAATTATCCAGTCTGTTTGAACAAAATACCAAAACAAATACAGCCGTATCTCGAGATGATGCTTTCTTTTAGATTCATACGTTTGAAAATAACTCTAAATTAGCGATTGCTTGAAAGATTACAATTAAATGCACCAAAATTAATCTTCGGACTGAGTTGAGAGATTTTTATTGTTAAACCCCGTTCTTTTTTGATACGGAGGACTGGTTTGGATTTTTTGGTTTTTATTCTAATTTCGTGCTAATATGGTGAGCGTCCAGGCATACAAAGATTATTTATTCTGATTTTGTGCCGCAAAAACTTAGTTTTTTCCAAAGTAAAGTTGATTTTTGAGTTTTTAGCGCCATTTTAGGAATGAAAAACTTTTAAAAAGTCCCTTTTTTGCACTAACTTTGAAAATAAAACCTTACGATATTTACTATTTGTTTTTGGTTTTTCTTGTCATTGTTCTACAAAAATTGTTTGCCATGTGGCTTATTCTAGTATGAACGTCGGTCGAACATGCTACTTTTTGTTCAGATCTTTTTATCAAACCACGCAGACAAAAAACAAAACAACTTTGAAAAAAAAAAATCTTTTTATTGTATTTTTTAAGACTATGTTTGGAATACTTTGCTTCTCTGCTACATGCAGAGTAACCGGCTATCCTTGTTATGGTAATATTTTCGTTTGCCATATGCTGTGCTTAGTATAAGATGGCAGTGCGCGTGGAGAATGTGGTGGATTGGGATGTGGTCATGAACATGTACAAAGACATGCAACACATGGACGATGATGCCCTGGAAGACAACAGACACCAGACAGACCACAAGGTAGGGGGGGAGGCAGAACTTAGAGATCAGAGGGGGGGGGGTGATATTTCATCTATCTTCTATATCACCCTTATGATCACCTATCTTCTATATCACCCTAATGACTTCACTCATTAGACCAATCGCAGATAAGGCATGGTCCCAAAACGAAAAACTAGAGCGTACTTTCTTATCCTAATTTACACAGTATATCAACTTGTCCGTTAGAGGACGTAGGAGAGTGTGTGTGTTGTGTGCTGTGTTTAGAACTATGACCTGGGGGGTTCCTTCAGTGCCACCAGGGCCATCGACAACTCCTTTGACATCCAGCTGCCCACCTGGAAAACAGCTGCAGCTGCGTCCTCCTCCGAAGTGTGAACAACTAGGCTACAATTACGACATATACAACCAAAGCACATAAACAATAACAACAAACAACAATGCAATCAGACTAATTCACATCAGCTACCACGTGTGAACAAATATGAACGTATTTAGACAGAGAAAAAGGAAAAACAAGCTTACCAATCAATAACATCACTATCAGACACGCTTCCTCTTTATCTGTTCACGCTTCTTTGAAACAGAAGTTTGCATTGTCTATTTTGCACCATATGAATTATAGTTCTGAATCTTGTTCCTGCGTTTTTTCCCGCCTCGTTGAGAAGACAGATGTTAGAATTAGAGGGAGGTCAGTGTTTTTTAACCAGAAATTCGGGATTTTTTCCTCACTTATGTTGCTATGTGGAACGGTGTCGTGTCTCTGCCACTACCTCGAGTCACGCAACTACAATCGATCTTCTACCTAACAAGCGGGAGATGTGAAACGTAATCAGTCGCGTATAACCTTTGATAAAAGTTTCAGGCATTGATGAACCGTTTTAGTAAAGATAATGCTGATTCAATCGGAGATCGTAACGGCATGTATGGTCATTCATGATTCTCGTAAATAGCTTTAAGAGATAACTTTTGTCATTTTATGAGGCTAACAGACCTTTACAAGAAATCTCAACCTCAAAGATAGCCAGCACGCAATAACATAACTCTACCTATTTGGACAGAAAGGATAGGTTTCCTGGAGCTTCAACATCAATTTCAATCAATTTTAGTCCTATTGAAAATTTTTCGGTAGCGTTTATTTTGGCTTCGGTTTCATGCAAAATGTTCTAAGAATAGAAATGATTTATATTGACTTGAATGAATTTTTATCAAATTTTTTATCAAATGTATTTTTTTAAGATATTTTGTACATATATTTTTTTAGATTTTCTCGACTACCAAGTTATAGAGAAGTTAAAGCTAAAAGTATAACGTATCGTTCGCTATCGACTTTTGCTGTTGACCTTTGGCCTGAAAAGAAACTTTGAAAATAACTAATACTTGGAGATGCCACCCGACAGGCTGATGCCTTTTTGGTATTTTCCCAAACCGAACTTTGTTGTAAACATACATTTTCATTGAATGTTTGCTTATAAATTAAAAATTAAAATTGTTATTTATTATATAAGGTAAACTATCTGAACAAACAATGAATTATTGTTCCGACCATTGAAAATGGGGTGAAACTTTGTATTCGGGTGTGTTTAAGTTTTATTTTGCTTTTGTTTTCCTCGCAAAATCTGTTACCACAGATAATGAAGCGACTGGATTGAGGTATTTTGAATATCATTTAAAATTTTTCTAAAATATTTCCCAGTATCGAGAGAAACCGGTTTGAAAAATTTAATTTTTTGTCCTCATTTGAGCAAATGAAGCAAGCCAGCAGGCTTACGACAGCTGAATTATGCCTAAAAACCTACTTTTATGCAGGTAAAACAAGTTTTTGGAGTTTATTAGTTTCATTTTGGGAACCATAAACTTAATAACGTAAAAAATTTCTGCAAAAAATTTTGAAAAATTTTGTTCTATAATTTAACTTTAACTTTTCCAGTCATATTTCTACAAGGTTTTGTCCAATTTGCCCATTTTACTAATACTGTCTAATATGCCAGAATTATTTTGTTATATCAGACCTTTTTATCACACCAAGCAGAAAAAACTTCATTAATTTTGAAAAAAAAAGTTATGAAATCGGCGGAAATTTGGTCTAACAGTGGTTGACAGTCAAACAGAGTAAATAAATAACATTGAGTACATCAATTGAACTTTACAAGCGTGATCGTCAGGGTAAATTTTTCTGAATAGACTTTTTAGACTTTTTCTGAATACATCAGAATTTGTTGCAATGGCTTCACAGTTTATGATTTGCATGAAAATTTTAAACTCCAATAAACCTTTGCCAGCTATAACTTCTGACCTAGAGAACCTTGAGCTATTCTTGTGCTCATAAACTCGCCAGCAAGGTTTTCATAGCACGAGAAAATTGGTAACTCGATACCTTTAGCACATCGAGACACGTTTCGTCTAGACACGTTTCGCTCGATCACAATTCGCCCCTTTTGAGTTTAGAGGCGCATTTCTCCCCTTACGCACGAAGCCCCGTCTTAAAATATGGGGCGAAATGGGCCACTGGGTCGAATTGTATTGGGCGAATGGTGCCACCTTAGCGCATGTATCAAAGCAAAACTTCTCTTTTCATTCGATTAGAGCTAGCAACATTATACTGACTACGTCAATGAGTTACATTTAGGGTGTCTGCACTGAAAACCAAAGTTTGTTTGTTTCAGATCACTTAACTCAAACTTAATGAGTTTTATTTGTCAAATTATTGACTTCGTACCATTCCCAATGAGTCTGATTTTGTGTAAAGAATCGCTATTTGTTTGATCCGACTCTACAATTAATAGATTTGAAAGTATAATTATGATAATAAAGTTCTAAAAAGCATACTAAAGCAATTGATTCGGAGTTTGATTGTCCCAATTTGATTAAGCAATTGATTTAAGATTTAAATACTTGGTTCCAAATAAGCTTTAGACCTTTTTTTCAAAATGGGAAAAGCCTTTAGCTGTCACAAATCATCCCACGACAAGACATCAGATAGCGACTTAACCAATCCAAAAACCGACATGAGTGCATCGGAGCAGCAGCCGGATGTGTCGATTGAGACTAATGTGAGTTATGCCATAAAAACACGTTTTTTCTCTTTTTCTGATTATTGAGAGTTTTTAAAGAAAATTTCTGAATAGAAGTTAGATTGGAAACAAGTTCCTCTGACTAGAAAAAGCCTGGATTTAACTAACTTCTGATCAAAAACTAGATTTCAATCATCATCAAATGATCGTCCAATAGTCGTATGATGCTAAAATAGCTTTCAGTTAGCTCATATCACAAGCTTCGCAAAAAACTTCGGACCGTTGAGACCCTATGAAAAAAACTACTGCTTATTCTGTCGACACTACGGAACTATCAAAACAAAGAAAATGGAACCGGCTCTAAACAAGTATTTATAAACCAGTTATATTATTAATAAATTATTACTGTAAAATATTACTAACTAACCAATCATATTCCATCTCTAACATTGACACTTATTTGTAAGTGCTGAAACCACTTATACTTTCAGCACCAGAACAAACTTGAAAAAACTTTGAATACAGTTGTTCTCTTTCTGGATAAACTCCAAGAGCTATCTCGCATTAACTTGCACTAGATACACTAGATCTATTGAGACTAGGAGATATAGAGTAAGATTAAGATCGGTATTAGACTACGAAGTTGCACGAATCTATCCGGCCGAAAATAAGATAGCGTGACGGGCAGACGGTGTACCTTATCTGCAATTACTCTATGAGTATAACCAATAGGTCATAACTTAACTGGTGCGACCAAAAGTCTCGAACAAGACCTTAACTAACTTAGAATTAGACATTAGAACTTAAAAACAGACAATTGCAAAATTGCAAAAATACTAGAAGCAATAGATGATTTAGTAGAAATGTCTCTACCTCTCTGTAAATCTACGCCAAACTTCCAAAAAAATACAAAAAACACCAGGCATTGAAAGAAGACCAAGATCGTGGCGTGAAAAACGATTAGGAAACGTACCACTCTACTACAAGTAGTATAGATATACGACAATGGGATCGGGGGTGGGGGGGGGGGGGGGGTGATCCTTACAGGGATCATTGGGTATAGATTATACCTAATGATCCCTATGTAAATATTTATACCTAATGATCCCTATGTAAAATATTTATACCTAATGATCATGATCCCTATGTAAAATATTTATACCTAATGATCCCTATGTAAAATATTTATACCTAATGATCCCTATGTAAAATATTTATACCTAATGATCCCTATGTAAAATATTTATACCTAATGATCCCTATGTAAAATATTTATACCTAATGATCCCAATGTATAATTTTTATACTCAATGATCCCTACGTAAAACTTCGGTAAATTATAAAGTATTCCCACTGAACGTTGTGGAAACAGGAATGGAATTAAGTTTTGGTCGGTGCATGTTTTCACTTCTAAAGTTTGGGGGTATTGGCTTGTTTACATGTAAAAGGACGTTATATACCTATTATATGTGATAGGAAAGCACCAGATTTTGGCAGCGTAGCTTAACTGTTGGCTGCGGTGAACGATTTTCTTCAAAAATGCATGTTTTACTGCTGAATCTCGAAGAAAGGAAAATTCGTCATTTGCGGCGGCCGCCACCTCTATTTAGGCAAAAACTAATGATCAATTTGACCGAAATAAGAATGAAAAGTTTCTTTAAGCCAAATGAAGGTAAAAAATTATGGAACACTGAAAACTCTAAATAATGAAGTTGGCTTAAAAATTTCGACATTTCCGTTTTCCGTGTCTACAGGAGACTGAAAAAAACGTCTGAAGTCTATGACAAAAGCTTTGATTTTATAGAAAGGTTGAAAGCGCTAATAAGTTGAAATGGTTTAAGATCTTGAAAATCGAGAACACTGATGAAAGCCAAAAGTGCCCAGAAATAATGTCAAAATTTGTTTCTAACTTGTTACTATAAAATTGAAGTGGAACAAAATTTCTTGGGGTCCGAGTAGAGGAAAACGCATGGCGCTCGACTCTCAGCCGAAAGGCGGCGTTTCGAAACCCGTCTGGAAATTGTACTGAAAGGAGGCAACAGTTGCTGGTATGGTGATATCCCCCCATAGATCGATTTTGTATTTTTTATAGTAATCTAACTTCTCGGATTACTGCTATTCAGTTAAAAATTGGGTAAAAATGTCAATTACTAAAAAATGTAGTGTTTAAAATGAAATTGAAAAGTGTACAAAACAGACATATTAAATAGTGAGTTAATGGGTACGCATGTGAGTTAGGAAACGTTTCAAAACATGATCATTTATGTAAGCAAAATCAGAAGCATCACCATTAAAGTTTTTATCATAAATCAAATGTGCAATATAAATGCAAAAAGAACCGCAGAGTTTGAGTAGAGTTGAGAATGGTAGAGTTTGAGTCTTGCATGGGAAAGTTTGTCATCAATTCAGTCACCTGATGAAAATTCTCGTTCAATCGTTTATACAGATTGGTGTACTGCCAAAGAGGAAGACCGAGAGGATCAGCAAAATATAAAACATTTCTTCTGTTGCAAATTACAATCCAATGTGTCCCCGGAGAATCTGATTTTGAAGTGTTCACAATCATAAAGATATTGTTTGGGATGTGAGGTTGAAAGTTGTCCGCTGCAAATACTCCAAGAAA